GGTCTGAGGAAGCCTCAATCCACTTCTAGAGCATTCACTATTGCAAGTCTAAGACTCTTCAGAACACAGGGAGCCAAATTTGACTGAAATGACATCTGTTACTCTTGTGGAAATGTCAGCTAGTTTGTTAAAATGAACGCACAAAACCAAACTCAGCAATCAGTATGGGAAACAATGCAAGGCAGTCATTTATATTTTAAGAGATTAATTTTTTCACCCAAAACAGCACAGATCTACTTGGATTAAAAAAGAAAATAGTTTTATTAGCGAATTACTTCTTTTAATTGCACTGTTGCTTCACACTAATCAGTGGTTCATTAACAAGTCAAAGTTTAAGCCAAGTAAAAAGGCAACAAATTGGAGTAAACATGGAGACAAGCTCTGGTGTATTTCCTAGTATGTATAAATCAATGTGATGATAGACTATCGTAGCACACTTAATAATGCTGTTTCTTAAAGTAACTGAGTTGGAAATCATAAGAAGGGCAAGGCTGTGCTGCGTATCAATCTCCCTAATTAACCCTATAACTACTGCAAAAGTTAAAATAGTAGAAAGAAGCAGTGCGCCAGTGCCTCCCCTCTCAAGTTCAAACCGAGGTCCTCTGTAATTCAAGTATGATGTGCAATATTGCTGCTTTTTTTTTTTTTTTTAAAGTTAGCTGTCAAGTAATTTTGGGAACTCAGATGTAACTGATCACTTAGGCTTGAAGCTAGTCCATATTGCAGCCAGCGTCTAGCATGCCTTCTACCTCTTGTTGCACCTGCGTCTGAAAAATTTCACTACTGTCAGCATGGTGTATTATAATCAATCCTTAGTCTAATTCAGATTCTCAGTTAGTTGGGGCATGGGAACTGAATTAAGAATAAACCTCACTGTTAAGCATTATCCACAGCAGCACAGTTTATTTTTATAATTTATACCAGTTTTAAAAGCATACAACTATCAGCAACATACAGATTTTCCTATATAGGTCTTTGGTTTACAGCACTAGTCCTATCTGACATTCAAGTTTCTCTTCAGAAGTGCAGAAACAGTCCAGTACAGTTGCATGCATCCCACAGAATGACTAGGCTCGTGTGCTTTACCAGTAAGACTGAAAAATGAAAAAAAGCAGCACACACTAACGTGTTTGTGCCCTGGACCAAATTTGAATGCTTCTTAATCATATCTTAAGCAAGATCCACTTTCAACCTGACAAATTTTGACAAACAGCAAACATTGCAAAACATCAAGTAGTTACAAGCAGGATGAAAATAAACCTTGCTAATAAGGGGCTGCCAGAGTCAGGTCCAAACTCCAGCCCTACGAGCCTAAACACACAAGGCAGAAATTGAACTAAAAGGAGGCTCATACGTGTTGTGATAAGAACATAGCTGCATACATTTTCAAGTCAGCCAAGAAGAACCTTCATTTACACTGGACCTTGCATCTGTGGTTTTCAGATGTGAATAGTGACTTTGCTCTCAGGTTCCAGAATAAAAGAACTTAAAGGGACTTTATTTTCAGAATGTTTTGGAAATTAGGCCCTTTGAAGGGTTCCGGTCTACACCCAAGAAATAAGGCTTCCAAAATGAAGTCACATTGTCATTGTGCACTTTAAGTTTATACTTGTTGACATCAATAGCCAAAAATACCCAAACCCAAAACATTTTAACTATGCATAGGAGCAGGACATCGAATAGAGGCAGCACGTCAACCTTCATGAAGACCGAGCTGTAGAAACATTGAAGGGATTGAAATAAGTCTTTTCTCAGCTGGAAATACTAAAAATTCCAGCTACAATAATTTTTTATGACCTGTAACATAGAAGTGGCTTGATCAATTTTATCCAAAACTTCCTATAAACATTCTTTGTCTCAGAGCTAAATACGGGAAATTACAGCCTGTGCCAATTTTCTAGGGGAAAAAATGTGTCATGGAGCTAAAATAGATATTTATAAAATAAGTTAGTTGCAATTTTAATAATGATTCCCCTTGAGACATCCAGACAAGTTAGTACAAGATTAACTCAAAACAACAAACATGTCAAATGTGAAATTTTAAGGCACAAATGAGTGTCATAGCATGAGAATGTAACTATTTATTCCACCTTGAGAGGGAAGTGGCTTGCATTACTAATAGGAAGAGGGCATAGAGCTGTTTGAATAGCGCAAGACAAAAAAATGGTCTTACTGGGAAAGGCATGTTGCATATCGAAGTACCCAATTTGATTCATCAAGCTAAACAATTCTTAGGCTTTCGCAGAACCGAACTCCCATCTGCCTACCACCGTCCTGTACCACCTGGATCTTGAAACATAACGCATGTTCTGCAAAAGGCCAGTAGGATTAGGGATGGTTGGAGGTAGAAGCACCTCAGCAGTAGTCTTCATCAGTACACCACAGTGCTCAATTTCTTTCTTTGTAGATGTTCCATTGCTTTGCTTTTTATGTCATCTTCTAAGTGTATGCATATGAGAGAAAGAAAAGGATTTCAGATTATAATAGGTTAAACGTGCCCAGGGAGAAGTCTCAGGTAAGATGCAAGACGCCTGTTATCAATGTTTCCCTTTATACCAATCCAGTCTTACTGAAACACGCGGCACGTGAGGCTGCAGTTTGGCAGCCACGTAGAAGCTGTGAGTAGATTCCCAGGTATGCAGCTATGATCTACCTGAATCCAGCCTTGTGGCCGTGTGATTTTGAGTGTTTCCCAGAGTATGGTGCTTAAATTTGTTTCCTTAATTTTGAATTATCATTTTCACTGTAATATCACAAATAACATTGAATCTGTTCGCAGCTCAGGGATACATTTTACATGGTAATATAACTGTATTAATTAAAAATGAAAATCAAGAAATAGTAGCCTTCGGTGGAGTAGGTAATTGCCAGATTTGTTCACCTTTTCTGGTTATTCTTCCAGTGCTTTTTCCTCAGCTCTGAAAGTTGTAAGACATGTTCCCATGCAAATGAAAAATGTATTAAAATACTGCAATAGAATTTAAGTTGCCACTTGCTTCCTTTTGCCACTGTTTGCTTTAAAAATGGCTTTAATGTTAAATGACAGGAAGTTCAAATGCACTAGAGTACTAGATTTGCTGAGAACACTTGAGAACACTGGTTTTACATACAACATCTATTTCACGCCATAAAGTGCATCTTTGTGCTTTCTAGAACATGATCCAAATCTGTGGAACAAATCTAGTGCAGGGTTTCTCTGCATGGTCCCTAGGCTTGTGTGTTTTAAGGAACCAAAAGGGGCAGAAGCGTAAAAGTCAGGAAGGTAGAAATGGCCTTGGTTAGATGAGTTTGAACCCTGCTCAGTTACTAGGGACAGTATGAAACTGCACAAAATCAGGAATGAACAAGACTGTAAAGCAGAAATACTTGAATTCTCTGCCCACTGTAGATATCAGGGGCCTTTGGCACTTCCAGAGTCCTGTTAATTGTATCTGCACATCCAGATCAGAAAAATGTAACTAACTGCCCTTGTTTAACCTAAAGGAAAACACTCGGAGAGGGTGACCTGCCTTTAGTAACTGTAAGTATCCGATTCAGGATTAGAATACAACTAGTTTATTAAACGTTACAATTTTTTTAATCTAGGGCACTTACCAAGTAAGTTGTAAACTGGAGTGAAAAGAATTAAGTATTTGCTGGGCCTTGTTCCTAATCAGTGTATCCCTCCCCTCCTCCTGTTTGGATTGCTTGTGCTCTCCACGCTTACCTCTCATTACATTTTCTTCTCTTTGGTTATTATGGGAAAAGTTTATTAAATGAAGCAAGTCATGCAGCAGCCTTTGAAAATGGTTTGATTCGGTGTTGGGATTCAGTTCTTGGGTTGTTCAGAACAGATGGAAGCTCTCAGCTATTCCTGCTCTACTACAGCCTCGAAAGATCTTGCCCTGGAACATGTTAGCCACGGGAGGCAGCTGCCTCTCTGGGTTGGGACACCTGTCATTACAGACCTTTAACCTGGTAACTGCTTTACAGGATTAAAATCATCATCTTAAACTAGCACTGGAAATCGGCAAGAGGCAGTGACAGAACCTGTGCGTTAAGTCACATTATCTCTGTGCTAGTATAATCTGCGTAAGGTGGGGTTCTTACCATCTTTGGGTTTGTGTGCAGTAAGCTACAGCAGCCCAGCTGGAGGGGGAAGAAATACATCCCCTCATCCAGGTAGCGTATTCAGTCAAGTAGTAGCGTAAGAATTCGAATGCCAAGAAGGACCACCCTTTTGGAAAAGCAGACAGGGGTAAGGCAAGACTTGTCTTTTGGCTAGGGGCTTGAAGGTGAACATTTTCCCCTCTCTTTTAGGGGAGCATCTGTGTGCAGGTTACCTTTAGTCATGTCAATGCCTGTCGCTACAGCATTTTGCACAATCAAGTCCCGTATACGTAATTTATTAGCCTACATTATTCCCAGACAGGTCAGTTTTCTTCTAAGTACTTTCATTCATCACGTGAAGGATTTCAGAATTGAACATGCATAGGACTGTTCTTGCCGCTTCACGTGTTTATGTTTGGTTGTCCAGGGATAGGATTTTTTGTATACAAGATGAAAATTAATGCTGATTTACACGCCTAAATTCTTGACTTTTCCTCTGTAAAATGTGTTTTTATACATAACGTTTACCATGAGTTTCCACTTACAGAAGTAACAAACACGTCTTTTACAAAGCAACAGCCTTAAGAAGAGAACAAGTAGCTGCTCATCTAACACAGCAAACTAATGCCTGTGCTAAAAATAAAACCCCAGGAGCAGTCCCTCATGGTCTGAAATCAATTTCTCTCTCTTTTTGCTTATATAGGGAAACATTTGAAAATTATGAAGGGCAGGTTAACATAAATAAATGCTTCAAGAATAGGAACAGCGATAGTGGTTCTTTGAGAAGTTCTAGTATTTGTGTTATTTTCAAGATCTTTTCTCACAGTTGAAGGGATCCAAACCGTTAATATGTGTTCATCCAGGTTTCAGAAGACTCCTAGAAGTTTAAACAAGTGCACTGAAAAAGTTCATGTTTGTAAACATTTATTTTCTTGAACTGAAAAAGGCTTGCATCAGCACACATTGTACAGCCTTGCAAATTACACAAATTGAAAAAAGTTTGTTTCATTTATGTGCAATGAATCTTTAATGTCCAGTGAGCATCTGCAAATGATGAAAACTTAAACCATTAAAAAGGTTTCCAGCACTTATCAAACACAATTATCTTTGCGTGAAAAGGAAGAGAAAGAGATCCATACTGGTGGGAACACAATTAAAGTGCAAACATTTTGTCACTTGTGAAGATACATTTTAGTTTCTTCACACTTTTGCTAAAAATAAGACATATTAAAATGTGATTCAGTGAACATTCTTTGTAACCTATTCATATTCCCCTTTAAATAATTATTAAACCTGTTGGATCAGAAGCGAATCCTTCAAGGGTACAACCTACTTGTATTTTCTTTTGACATTGCCTGAATGAATCTCAAAAGAAAATGACCATCTAAGGAATTAGCTACTAAAAATTTTTTTTTTTCCTTAAAAAAAACCACAAGGGACAAAGAACAGGTTAACTTGAAGATTTGGGGTAGTTTGCTAGAAAATGAGTGTAATTCCTTGAAAATGGTTCTCTTTTCCCCTCCACCAATCCTCAGGTTCCTGCCTTGGAATGGACAGCTGTGTGCTGGCTGTGAAAAGGGATTATAAAATACAAACCTGAATATGGATTTTTATGAACATCTGCTGTACAGTAGAACTTTGGATCTGATACAAGAATTCAAAAATACAAAACAAAACTACTATAAAAGTAGGGGGCATTTCAACAGCATTCCTTGTAGAAAGCTGCCTGTCTCAAAGATGATTCCTTGCTATTGTCTGGGATTAATTCTGGGTTTTTTTTTCTTCATCTTGCTGGACTGGGTTATTTATTCTTCAGTGGCTAATGTCTTATGACAAAACATCCCAGGAGTCTCTATGAAGAGAACAGAAACCCCGTAACACCGAGCCAATCGAGGAGGACATGGAAGTAGTAAAGGCTGAGTGTCCACTGATGTAACTGCTACTGAGAACTAGCTCTTTCCAGAACATGAAAGTCGTAGTGCTTCTTGCTTGTTCTCAGCCTGAACTTGTTCACTGAGGTACTGCTTTGTTTCTTCAACGCGTTCTGAGCAGCTGACATTGTAGGGAACGTAGCTAGAACCGTGTAAGTGGACGCCAAGTCACTAGGTTTGGATGGCTCAGTGTTCACGCTACCGTCTCCGCTGCCACAGTAACGACGGTGGTGCTGCTGCTGTGCTTGTAGACACTGCGAATCCCTTAGCCACCGAATCTTGGCACCAACTTTTAAGAGTTCTCCAAATAGTTTTTCTGCTTCCGTACGAGTTATGCCTTCTGGCAGTTCAGTAATTTCTAGAACTTTTCCCACAACTGAAATAAGAAAAACATTGCATCCAAATTGGTCATTGTACTTAATGATACAACAAACACAATGGAAAATGAGTTACTTCATACTTGTGTTTCCAGCTGGCTGACACCAAATACACAGGCATTCCATTTCTGGTATTCTAGAGAGCCTTTTGCGTTCGCATTTAGCACTGCTTACAGCTACAAGCGTACAAAGAAAAGCTGAGAATACAAAGAGGGCCCTCAAAAGAGAGAGAGGGAAAAATAATAATCAACACCTAATTTTGCAGCAGGTTTGAGAACCCACTATAGCATCTCACTGCCTTTGCCTGTTCAACTCTTCACACATCACTGTGCTAAAAAACTAGCCTGTCTTCTCTCAAAAAAATCCTCTCCAGTAAATTGTTTAAAAAGCTGATTTATCTGTAACTTTCTGCAAAGAGGTGACAGTAGGTAACGCAACAAAAATTCTTTCCAGTAAAGATACGAAGATAGATGATATCAGGTTTTATTTGGATGACATCTTTACCAACTCCAAGGAGCTAATCTGTAGATCTCCCAATAATGACCCCCAAATCCATGTGCTTATTTATATTAGAAGGGGGAAAAAAAAAAAAAAAAAAGCAGCACAAACTAATTTGTGGTTTATGTTTGGCTTCACATTTCATGCAAGTAAAAGGAAGCGGGCATATGTGTCTTTAATATAACAATACTTAATGTAACAATGCAATAGAACTTACGTCCAGTAAACTGACAAACTTGCTTTTCCTTCTAGTACTGCCCAATCCTGATCTTCTCTGGTCTTTTCTCCAGCCTTCAAAACTACACTTCTGTCATTTAACCTCCCTCTTCCCCTCTCTCCAAGTCTTCCTCTCCATCCTTATGCTTCCAGTGTTTGCCATGTCCGTTTCTGTCCAGTTACTCTTCATTCTGGCCCTTTTCTCACCTGTTCTTTTCTTGTTACGTTCCCAGCCCATCCCCCTAACTCATTTTTCTGGAGGACTGTGCCCATCAGCAATTCCATACCTGGTTCTCCTGCACCAAGATCTGCTGAAGCAGCCTTCTTTGCTGGTTTCTTCCCCCTGTTTCCATGTCTGTTTCCCGGTTGACACTGGAAAGATTGACATAAATGATGTACTTTAATGACAGTGCACCAGTATCTTACACTTTCTAGGTTAGCTCAGTGAAAAACAGTGCAGAGGAATGTGTGGAAAATAACCTGTGCTACCATGGGACACAAAAGATTTTTATGTCCAATTTTAGTCTTGGAGTTTAGCAATCCTGCAGTCAGGCACATTGAATCCTTTGCCTCAGAAGAAAGGGAGGAAATGATGGAGAAGAAAAAAAAAATCACCTTAAATCTTCTTGGCAGACCCCAGCCCCCCAGGTCCATCACATCTTCTGGCTGATCTTGGGTAGGACTGAGCAAGGTAGAGGGAGGGGGTCTGTGTGTCTGTCCCAGAAAGTAAATAGATGGCAAAACTTTTTAGCTTTGCTAACACTAATATTTTGGGTTGGTTCTGTTTTTCTTATAAGAAACAAACCCACTCTTTGTTTAGAAATAGCTGCATGTGGGTTTGGTTTTTTTGTTTGTTTGTTTTTAAATTGTTATTCAAATAAGAGAAAATAATTTTCGCAAACGTTCTCTCTGTGATTTTTGGGACTGCTGGTGAATTGCTTAAAAAAAAATTCCATAATCTACCCTGTGCCTAAAGCTAAATTTCAGGAAAATGTTTCTTTTTTTTTTTTTTTCTTTTTTTAAACAACATACAGGAACAATGGGAAGTATAAACACAGAATAAAACTGTTACTGGAAAGCAAGCAACTTCCACTCAATTACTTTTCTAATGCAGTAACATATTCCCCTATGCATTGTGGTTACAATGGTAGTCCTGACTTGGGTTTTTTTCAGTGCTGCCAGGAGATTGTTCTCTTTAATACCTGTTGGCTTGTTACTTGTCCACGTAATAAAGATGATGGATTGTACTGCAGGGGTTGGCCAAGCAATGGGTATCTGGCATCTCCTTAAAGAGAAAGGTAATTAGAAGGGTTTTCTGTTATATGAAACCTTCCTCCAAGTTCCTCTTACGAGGTATATCTTACACAGAAGAGAAAGCAGAATATGCACAAAGTAGTGTATTTGGCTAGGCTAACAAAATAAGATTTGGCACGATTAAACGTAAATGCGTCACATGCTGATCACAAGATGAAAAGGTACAAGCTTTCTTGCATTGAAGGATTACACTGAAAAACACACTAGAAGTTTTTCTTCATTGCAGTCTTACCTAAATGCTCTCATTTCAAAATGAGCTTAATAAGGCTAAAGCTCCTCACAGTGTACTAATTTAATCATTTTCATGGCTATATCCCTGATTAGAGCCAGGTATGTCTTTACATTCCCATTGTAAAGGATCCAAGGATCCACAAAGACAATGGAATAGAAGTTTTTAGTAATCCCAGAAGATTAAGAAAGTTGAAAGGCATACTTTACAACAGGCAACCTGGAATTTTTACAACATCATCGGAATACAAAGCAATGACAAAGATTATGCAGCAGATAAGACAAAGGCAGACAAGAAACTAAGGCTTTCTTTATCAATAAGGAAGATGTACAGAATTTTCTGTAAGTTTTGCTTTAAAGTAAATCTTTCTGTAATACAGAGCCATTAATTTTGAGTTTGGGAACTATACCAGGACATCTTTGCTCATTGACAAAGTTCTTTTTTTTTTTTTTATAATTTGGTTTTTAAATGTTATCAACTATCACATCTCAGTGAAAACTCCCTATTGTCTCTTTTTCCATTAACATGGCAGCAGAGGACTGAAATTCTTCTACAAGGAATTTTTTCTGTCTTTGGGTGGGTACTATCTGAAATACTAGTTGAAGCAGCAACAGCATTGGCTAGAGGCTCTAGTCCCATTGTGCTAGTTTTTCTACAAAGGAATGAAGAATTCTTGCTTAGGCAGTGGTTTGATTTGGTGCATCATCAACTAATAAGTGAGTTTGGCAGAATGTTCATCTCAACGTCACATTTCTGTATCCTTTCCCCCAAAAGATAATATGCCCACCTAATGTATTAAGATCAGCTAATCCCACATGATTTATCTTTGTGGCTCTAAAATTATATCCTTTGTGACAGGCTAAACTATATCAAACATTTTATTAATATTTTCAATGCTGAAATGGGGAATTTCACATATGAGAAAGTTAGTGGGTTATGGAAGTTCGCACAATAATGAGCAGCAAAAGCTTTTGAGAATATGGGGGACGGTATCGGTGCAGAGAGATAAGGTGAAGTTTTACATGATGCTTGAGTGGGTAGTTTTGATGATCCTGCTTCAGTAGCATTACTACTGAAGTGAGCCACAGTTCATCAGAAAATCCTCATGTAACTTGTATTTTAAAACTTTCAAATAGAAGACATACACACTTTTTAGTTAACTAAAAATATACCTTGTCCAGGGACAAAAGGTCTAGAAAACTGGGACACAATAGAAAGAGGTGTCAGTGTGGGACGGATGTTCTTCATGTTTGGTAGCTGAGCTGGTGCTGGCGATTGGGCCGGTGAGGTGACAGGACTACCTAGTTGAGGACTATGCTGCAACTGGAATAAACCACAAGTTAGTGTTTTTCAAAGTACCTAGCTGAACAAGCTAAACAACACCTACAGCATTCAAGGACTGAAGGAAAGTTAAAATAGCTATATTAAGTATTATCAACGCAGACTTCTATTCCCCAAAAAGAACTTTTGAAAAAACATGCAACGATGCAACTTATGCAAATTTTAAGTCACCCTGGAAAACGCAACAAAACCCTCATACCTGTGCAGCACTGTCTAAAGTGCTAAGTTCTGTGGACTTCTGCCCCCTTTGATGATCACAGTAATATTTATTCTGTTTCCACTGTGGAGGTGAATGGTTCCGAGGCTGAGGGTTGTTGGGTAGATTTAGCTGCATCATTAGTACTCCTCCACCTGGTGGTGGTGCTACCGCTACAAGACAAGGAAGGATGCAGTTACTTCATCATACGTTTCAGTTTTCATTTTAGCAAAACAGACGTGAATTAAAAAAAGAAAACAAAACAGGGAAATAACATAATGAATGCTTTGCTGAATAGGCTGCTGAATCCTAGAAAGCTAGAGCAGTATCTTTGGTACAATTATATTCCCACTATCAGATAAATCTGCGGCAGTTAACTTCAAGAGGGCTTCCCAGAACTAGAAAAGAACCACTGAAACTCATTATTGAGAACATTTTTGAAAGTAATCATTCTATTTAATAGCAGTTGAAAGTATTCAACATTCACTGCAGCTACTGTCTGAGCAATGTGTTGAAGAACATGTGACTCTATGCAAGAATATCCTTGATTTAAAAAACGAAGTTACCAAGTAAGTTTTACATGATATACAGCAATACAGACTCAAAATGTTTTCTCCGATATGATGGCATACCTGGGAAAGACCTGGAATCAACCGTTAGTCTGAGGCAAAATTATCCTCATTTACAAGTTTTATCTGAACGTTTTTCTGGGCAGAGACTGCAAACGGATCCCCACATCCTGTACCACTTCGCTTACTGTGGTAGCTCCAGAAATGCCAAAGTCGGGGAGAACAGCGAAACAGCCGATGCTGTTCCACAAGGTTCCACACGAGGAGTTGTGACGAGGCTGTCGGAGAGAGAAGCCGTCTTCCCCCTTTGACCTGGCTCTCCCAAGTAATCTACATAACATCCTGTTCACTTGTACACGGTTGTTTGCAATTCCCTTCTCTGCTCTACCTGCTGTTCACAGCATTTCTCAGAAACCGTGATTCAAACACACGGTTTAAACATCATTTAATCATCCACCTTTAAAGAGGGTGTCTACAGTCTTCTCAATTTACCACCTACGTCATAGCATCAGTTGGGAGCAGTCAGATACAGATTATAAAATGCATTCATCTTGTATTTTTTAAAAAGGGCTGTTGTTTTTACTACCCCTGGGCTCCATAAAAAGAAACAGACTCCTTCAAAAAGCAAACCAAACAATGTAGAATAATGAACGCACAATATTAAAACTGTATTAGCCTTTGTAAACTGTGTTCTGAACAATATATAACACAACATTTGCCAAATGGTAAAGCCATAAACTTCTGTAATCCTTATATGTAAACCTGAGATGTACCAGACATCTATATACACACACGACATTTTACACAAGAAAAATCAGTTTCATTTTAATATTCCATGCGTATGTTAATGAATATTATAAATTATACTTATTTACACCTTACTGTTTTATAATATAGCATTTTATTCCACAGCACTCAGCATACAACTCTTTGACTTCTCTCCATTCTGTGAGAACTGAACACCCAACAAAAACACGCTTGTCTTGAATTCTGGAATTCTTTTCCTAAACAAGCATGCTGACAAAATGAAGTGTCATACAACACGTAAGTCACTTTGCAGACACTTTATCACCTATCAAAACCCATGAGAAGACAAACCCAGCAGAACTCCTTGAAAGGCTCCCCAGATTTGCAGTCTGGTCCTCTTTAACTTTTTCAAGTGAAAAGAACGCACAGACAAGCACCCGAGTTGTGTTGCTCTCATTGTCCTTACCTCAGTTGCCTTGATTCATCATCTCAGTATCACTTGCTGAAATGCGTGCTTGTCTTTATTCTCTCAAAATTTGTTCTCCCTATGGCACAGAGGGCTTCCCCCTTGCCCATACTTCTTTAAATCACAGTTGAACAGGTTTGAATCAGGCCTTCAAAACTGCCTAAAACCAGCGCTACCAGCATAGATTAGGAGAGTAGAAGAACAAGCTAGTGCAACACTGATTTTAGACATCCTGAAGTGACAGTCCTCCAGAACTGAAGCCAAACAAACTTGAAGCAAAATAGAAACAAAACCAAACCTGCCCAAAAACTAAAATACACTGCTAATCCAGCTATCTTGCCACTTAACTGCTTGTTATCTATTTACTAATAAACAGGCTCTAAAAATATCTTAAAAGATAAATGTTCATAAGAAAATGCTACATCTGTAGTGCAGTCTAGATCATTGACCTAGAGTTGTTTAATCTATTGCTTGCTTGCAAAATACTGAGATAGCAATATTTGAGGTTACCCCTTTCTGGCCAACCAAACCTCTAACGTATCCAATTCCTCATTGGTAAATTAAAGGCAGTTCTGCAATGATCACAGGATTGTTCTATAACCTCTTGTTTGGAGGCTAACCCTAGTGCTCTTCATTTCCTGACCAGTCCATCAGTTTTATGGTTGGAAATTGAGAGTTTTTAAGTGTTTGGATATTAGCATTTATAAACATTTCATGGATATGATAAGCTCTATGTCACCGCCATTTTCACAAGCCATTGAGACTGCTATTTATACACCTTCTAAAAATTACCCAAATATTTCATAGATCAAAACATTCTGAACCTGATTCAAGTGCTTCTCCTAAGGGACGCTTATCTGCTGAAGGCTGCCTCCAGGCTGCCCCCATGAAGTTGGCTATTGTCTGTCTTAAGTTCCAAGTTGTTGTTTTTAAAGTTACAATAATAGCAATTCAGATGAAGAATTACGAAAAAAGTATTTGCAGAAGTGGAGCTCACGTTGCAGTTGTTCTAGTAGTTAGCCATGAAATCAATCTGATAATTTGCAACAGGTTTCTAGACAGAACGGCTTAGATGAAAATCCCAATAAAATATACCTTTTATTGGCTGCATGATGGAAAGACCAGTGGGCGAACTTTTACATGATGAGGGTGGAGACACTATGCTGTAGTGCACAATGGAAGCAGCCTGTTGCGGCTTTGACTTTGATGAAGGTGGCAATAATGTAGGAGGTGATGGCTTCTGACTCGAATGGTTGCTATAAACTATGAAAGTAAAAGCAGTAAATAAGGCTACCATACAAACAAAACCAAAACACCCCACAGAGATTAGGAGTATTTAATTTAGCTTTTCAGCAGGTCAAAAAGCTACCTCTCCTCTCTATCCAAACCCCGAATGCTTTACAGTTTTCACCCTCTTCTCAGGAACTCTGAAGAAAATCGCTACTCTTACTCCATTAAGTGACATCTACAATGTTTCTTGAGTAGGAGAGCCAAGTATACTGCTTCCAAAATGTACCTTGCTCTTGTTCCATCAAATGTAACCCCAAATCTCAAATTTTTCAGACCCGTGTAGCAATTCAGGAAAAGATGAAAGCCATTGTGCAGAGAACATATAGTTCCCATGTCTGTCTCGACGCACAAGCAGACATGCAAGGCATCACGATGTATGTTACTGAATTGTAAGAAAGTAACTTGAGAGTTTTCAATGATAAATTGAGACGTCAAGTTAATCTGCCTCCAATATAACTTCAAAAATGGAACACAGAAGTAAATAAAATACAATAGTTAATTCTAAATCAAACCCTTAATAGCAAATATCCAATCACCCAGCACAGTAATAGCTAGACATTTCTGAAGTCTTTCAATAAAAAGTTTATTCCCCCAACCTGCACACTGCTGTCCTTGAAGCTGCTGTGAGTTGCACGGTGATGATGTTCTAGGAAACTGTATCTGCTCTGATCCAGGAGGCTGCAAATATCCTACTGATGAACTGTAATAGTAATAATAAAAAAAGAACATGACTAACAAGCATTTATGCCACGCTCATTTATTTAATCATGACGGCTGCATTTGCTGTCTACACGTACTGCAAATCACCGAGATTTTGCTAATTTTAAAATCAATAATATTCCCACCTACCCCCAAATCTACTCATTCTTCAGAAGCCTGAAATTTCACATCTCTTCCTTGGCAAAAACTTATGCCCTGCATACATTAAGAAGCTGTACTAATGCACCTATTTTGACATACTATTTTTGTGTCAATAGTGCTGTATCAATATAAAGACAATTTGTTGTCTTGCCCAATTAACCAGAATTGGGTCTCAGTTAAATGATCACCACAGAACCTGCCACGAGGATTTCAGGTGCAGTCCCTCAGCTGGAGGCTGGCCCCATGCAGCTAGGCCAGCTTATTCAGCACCCAGAACAAGCATGCCTCCGCTTCAGTGTAAAGCAACACAGCTTAAAGAGACAGTTGTCTTTCCACAGCTTTACCAAACAGGGCATGGGGAAAGGCAAAAATAACTAGTCATGGAAGATGACTCAAGGAGATAAACAACCTTTCATTTGTTTGTAATATGTAGGAAAAGGATAACTTAAAAGTTTATTTATGCCAGGTATTTTTTGGGGCATTCAGGGGAAAACCAGGTAAGTGACAGACATAGGCAAATTCTATCATACCACTAACTGATCGTACTGCCACAGCCAGAACAGCTGGTTGGTGGACCATAATCAGAGTGGCGCCTATAGAATCGAATCTTGTACTTTATTTCTGTACTAACAGTTAAAGCAAACATTCTGAGGGAATGAGAAAAAAAAAATACTTCAAATTGTGGAAAAAAAAAAAGTAGGTGTAATCCTGTTGGATTTACCATGTTTACCTATGTTGTCACAAGAAGTTTGTTTGCTCCTTTGTCCCACAGTACAATTATATAATTTTAATCTAAAGATTCCCTTCCATTAAAGCAGACAAAACTCAGTAAAAACCAGAGCAGATGGTTTTATATTGGCATGGGATGTGCACTCTCACACAGCTTCTCATCTGCCTCCTGATGATAGCTTTCGGCAGTGACCTGTAGGTTTGAGACTATTCAGTCCCCGCAGAAGGGTATTCTGCTTTCCTTGTCAAAGCACTGCAACATAACTATTTTGATAAAAGCAAGATGCTGTCATTGGTTGCTGAATTCCAAACAAATGTTTCCCTGTTCAAAAGAGGGACATTCTAAATGATGCAAATATCAAGCAACAAAACTTACTTCAAAATGTCTGGGATTATGTCTACCTATGACTTCATCGAACCTCAAATATAACTACAGAAGAAAAGGATAAAAAGAACCTTCAGATACAAAGAACAAGAATTCAGATTTAAGTAGATGAAGCCATGCAGCAATGACACAAATACTATTTAAGTCTCTGCACTCACAAAAGGATGAAGCAAGCTTCGTACTGTTGCTGCTTGCTTAAAAGTTGCAAGGCAAGGTATTTTTAAATGATGCACATTTGTAAGGTCAAAAAACTAGAGAAAGAAAAATTTGTAGACATTAATCCTAATGAATTCTTTTAGGTATCTGCCTATCTGTTCTCTCACAAATACTCAAACTGTGTTGGGGACACAGATGCGTACGCAGGGAGGTCTGTACATGTAGACCAATTTGCTGTTACAAAGGTAGGGGAAAAAAAAGTTATTTATCAAACAAACCCTGTGCATAGGAAAAAGTTCCTATACTGGCTTCATAGCCAGCTTTGTGCCAGCAGGCCTCGTTAGCTACACAGAGTAAGCTAAGCTCCTTCCAGACAAAGCTCCAAAAAAGGAAGAAATTCAGTCTTTTTCCGGGATTCAAATTCTCTTTTCTCTGCACCTTATTAAAGTATTATCTTTGGCAAAACCAGTGAGTATGGACAGTCATCTTCAATGTTGCTGCAAAAAGGCATTGCTACCGAACACACTGGCGTTTCATGTCTAAGAAAAGGAATGCAGAAAACTTAAGAAGTGGAACTGTAGTAAAGTATTGCTGAAAGTGATATGGAAGCAATGTTTTCCAGTCTAACAAGTATGTCTCAATTAAAACAGTATTGGTTGTTGTAGTTAATTGCATAAGAGCAAAAATAAATAGCTAATAAAGTGTCTGTAAGTCTGCCTTTGACATACATTTTAATGTATGCAATACTATAGCAGATCCTATCAGTTACCACAAGGTAATTAAGCCTAGCTGTTGAGAAATCAAATAACTGAGTTAAACTCACCTTAAATTATTCTGTTGACCTGATGGAATGACACCGTAGTAAACTGGCATTACTGTTGCAGGCAGTCCTTGATTGGACTGACTGGGAATTATAACAGGCTGTTGATACGTCTGCTGGGGCACTGCTTGGGAACCTTGAGGCACCGAAACCTAAAATTCGAGAACACATTAAGATTTTCTCCTGCAGACAATGTTTCTTTCTGCTTCTTGACCATCACCTAGTTTATATAAGAATTTTATAAAAACACCAGAAACTGAAAGATCTGCTGGAGTTCTCTACATCCAGAAGACTAGTGGTAACAGTAGTTGAAATAATAGTGCTTTATTAAAAAAAAACCTCTTTATCTTCTTCTCCAAAACTGGAAATGCTGGTTCAAAGGGACTCCATAAATTAGTAAAAAAAATTTTCTCTACAACAGAAAATGGGGTGGCAGGGAGGGAAATCTTATGAGCTTTTTCTTCCCCATCCTCTGAATTGCAATTAACACAGCACTTGGCATTCAGAAGGACTAGAACTTGCACACTTGTGACAGATTTTTTTTCTCACTTTTTGCAGGTTTTTTTTTGTTTGTTTGTTTAAATTTCTGTCCCTAAAGTCACCTTTGATGCCTGCTTGCAGCTTTCTACTATTTACAAAACAATGCACTTAAAAAATAGTAATTTAAAAAACCAAACCAAAACCACTCAAACACACAGACAGTGATTGGAAAGTTATGAATAAATTACCCACCTGATAAGATGGCACTGAAGGATATGGAACAATCACACCTTGAATTTGATTCCCAATGTTGTTTTGTTGGCCACTGACCAGATTTTGATTCTGAGACTGCTGAACTCCAACTAAACCCTGGTAGTTTTGCTGCTGGTTAGGCAAAACCTGGTAACCTGAAATTATACATTTAAATCTTATTTTGAAATAATGAACTTTTTTTTATACACAGCTGCCTATGTGAACACTTGTGTGTAGCATTTTCCAATGGCTTTTTAAATCTGGCAACTTCATAAGAAGAGTTGAACTTATCATGCATATAAAAAGAAGCCAACATTAAAATTAACAGATTTATTCATTTGGATCCAGCACAAAATACTATACGAACTATTTGCAATGCTGCTCTCGCATGCTTGCGATATTTATTTACACTCTAGTGAGTCACATGCATTAACACCTTGATTTGATAGGTGAAAGCTGAAAGCATTTGAACAAAGCATGCTAGATAATATCAAAACCAATTACTTGTCTATTATTATGAACAAGGCCCTTCTAGGTACTTTAGTTTTGAAATTCTAGTTATGCTAAATTCTGCTAGTACCTCAGGTGCCCTAGGGATGAGACTATCTTGACTGTGATTCAAAACGGAATCACAGTTCAAGAAAATTTGTGTAAGGCTTGTGTGCAAATTTTTTTAAAAAGAGCAATTTCTACTGAAATCTGTAATGCTAAAAGCAACTGGGAACTGAGAAAAATCTTCCAGGTAAAAGCCATGTTCATATACAGTGGAAGACATTTTATATTCAAAGTTATCTTGGGGGGAAAAAAAGATTGATTTTCGTATTCACCCCTCTACAGTGCCTCTACAACAATTTGTTACTGCTTAAACTGGTATGCTCTGGTATCTTTCAAAAATGGCCACCCCACCCCACCCCCCCCCAAAACAAAACCAAAAAACCCCCAAGCACGAGTGCCAAGCAGGAAATCCGTACATTTATTAGGTCCAACCTTAATTCCTGCGTTGCCTATTTTTTTTATTTTTTAAAAAGCTTATAGTAGGTACCGCTACCATGACCAAAACACATGCAGAACACAAGTAAAGTTCTTCTTGTCATATTCTATAGGTGTGTGCTACTTACCACATCAGCAAAAACCCATAACTACCAGTGTTTCTGAGACAAAGCCAGTTATCGCTCCAGAATAACAAAACTGGGCTTGTCAAGATGCACCGACGGCAAGAAGAGTCTGTATTTAACTTGGACACATTCACATTCTACTGACTTTGACATTCCCCATGCTCCCTACCTTGGTATGGAACTATAATAAAGCAAATATGGCTGCAAAAACTCACTTGGATTTTTTTTTAATCTGTGGTTAAAAAATCGCATGGTCCATTTTGAAAATAATTATTCAGTTAACACAAAACACTTCTTCTGTAAGCAAAACCCACCAGTGTTCATTGATTACATGCATACAGGGTACAATGAATGTTGTTGAATTAACAGTCTCAGCTGGCTGTCTCTATAGAAATTGCAACAATGAAGACTAAAAAAGACTGTTAATATAATCAAATACTGCTTCAGAAAATTAAAGGGAAGAAGGTTCAGTTTGTTAAAACCAAGAGCACTATTCATTAGAAACACACAACACACTATAAATATTTTCAGAGTACTATACAAAACTTCAGAACAACGCGTGCTTGAATCAGGATTAGTAGTTAGAATTTTTAATAACTCTGAAGTTTGGACTGTGCACAAAAATCCATCTCATATCTGTAATAAACAAAATGCTTAAATGTACTTTGTTACAAAATGATCCATGGCACCTAAAAAGCAGCAGAATGCGAAGTTGCAGTATATGACAGATCCGATCAATCAATACATCTGCAATCTAAACCCCTCATTTCCCAGAAATTGCAATGTAGCTGTGAATATTTTGAATATTTTTCTGGCACTTCCAGAGACAGGCATGATCAATTTTGCCAGCAGAGAGAACTGGAACAATATGAATTGACTGCCAAGAAGGTTCCCCACAGCGTCCCAAAGAATGCTCTATTTTTAGCTTCCCAATTTCACCTCTGCATAGAGAGTGGTCTGACAGAAATGCAGCACTCGGCAGAAAACCCACACCTGCCATAGCAAATTGTCTCATTACACAGAAACACTCTGAAACAGTAGATAAAAAAAGAAGCATGTTTCTTAATATTTGCATAATAAAAAAGAAACCACTGGTAAGATAAGAAAAGTTAACTTACAGAATATAGAAATACATTTTCTGAATAACATAAGAGTGAGAAACAGCCTTCATTCAAGAACAGAAAAGCAAGCACAATCACTTGGTTAACAAGCTATGAGTATAGCTTGATTACAACTATTACAACTACAGCTATTATTACAGCTGCGATAGTTTTATCACTGGCCACTGTGAAGCAGAAGCTAGCTGAATTTCAGCGGATGTTCCTAAAGTAATTGTAGTTCAGAGAAGAGTTTTAATCAACCTTTAGTTAGGTCTCATGGTAACTGGCCCTCATTCTCATGGCAATCGGAAACGCCTTCTTCTTACAGAGTTTTCTTCTCCCAGCATCTTTTGGGCAACCAAAGCATTTTTTATGAAAAGCGAACCCCTGTTGTGGCTTAACCCCACACAGCCGCTCGCTCACTCCCCTCACAGTGGGATACGGGAGAGAATCGGAAGGGCAAAAGTAAGAGAACTCGTGGGTTGAGATAAGAGCAGATTAATAATTGAAATAAAATAAAAATAGTAATTCTGATGATGATGATGATAATAATAGTAGTGTAAAGGAAAACAACAAGAAGAGAAACAAAACCCAGGAAAAACAAGTGATGGAACCATTCACCACCTGCTGACTGATACCCAGCCTGTCCCCAAGCAGCAATCGCTGCCCCCGGCCAGCTCCCCCCAGTTTCTATACTGGGCATGACGCCGTATGGTATGGAATGTCCTTTGGGCCAGGTTGGGTCAGCTGGCCTGGCTGTGCCCCCTCCCAGCTTTGTGTGCACCTGGCAGAGCACAGGGAGCTGAAAAGTCCTTGACTGGTGTAAGCAGTACTTAACAACAGCTAAACATCAGTGTGTTATCAGCATTATTCTCATCCTAAATCCAAACACAGCACTATGCCAGCTACTAGGAAGAAAATTAACTCTATCCCAGCCAAAACCAGGACAACCCCCCAGATATTTCACCTGAAACCCCTTTAAAAAGGAAGCCAGGAAGCAGCTGAAAAAGAGACCGGTTCACTGTGAGAAATGTAAACCTCTCAGACAGTGTTACGGCCCCGAATCCAACAGCTCATAAATAAAGTCAGGCCACTCCATAATATTAAACCAAAAGTGGCTTCAGTTGCCATGCTCTCAGAAGCTGTCATCTTTTATCTAGATTTGTGTTTGGAAAGTTATTTCATAGTTAGTAACCACTTTATACGATGAATAAAACCCACGGCTTTCATGTAGTACAAGATTTGTTATTTCTCATTTTTGACCAGACACACTGCTATATTAGCCAAGGAACATGCTGCCTGTTGTCTCAAAAACAGCCGCCGCTAATAAGCATCAACCATTTTGGATGGAGCTTTCTGTCACCTTAATACAAACATTTAAGGTTTAAAATAAATCTACAAGAGAGATAATTTCAAAATACACCATCTCACAAGCAGTTTACAGAACAGAAAACATGACGTGGAACCTTCCATCTCTAGAATGCTGATGCCAATTTACCTATAAAGCAGCAAATGAGAGCCAGCAATGGCTAGGTAGCAATTTGGAGATTTTGAATGAAACACTAACTATGCAGTTGCTACTAAAATACTTGTCTACCATTAGTACTAGTAAACATCAAGTAACCAGACAGGACTGAATGGAATTATTGGCTGGACCGCCCCTTCACTAAAACATGATCTCTTGATGTCAGGGTTACAGGTACAACGTACATTATCAAAGTAGCAAAGCAGCTATCTGCACAGCTGCTTTATTTTATTTCTTCTAGGACACAGAGGGAGATTTTAGCTGCTGATGCTTTTCACCCTGTCCACTTTACAGGCAGTGAAATTCAGTTAAAACGTAAAGAGCTAAAAACAGACAAGAAACAAACTTACTTACCTAATAGCAACCGACTCCTCCCTTTGCATCTTGTGCTGATGCACCGTCACCCCATGCTTTCAACTTCAGATTGTTTTGTTTAGCTACATATATACACTGGGCTCTCTCCAATTTAGAGTTTGTGTGCTATTCACATAGGGTGTCCCCATAAACGGGGAAGTAACCCCAGCTGAGCCTCAGACTTTTTGCTATTAAGTAGTCTAGGTATTAAAAATTCTGAGGAAGGAAAGCAGGTTGTGTAATACAGTTGGATAACACATCTAACAACAACGGATAAAACAAGTTGCAAAACTGAGTAATTTGTTTTCCTTTGAAAAAAATGTCAATACACTTTCACTTCTGGAGAGTTAGAAGTGGTGATCTATTTTGCAGAAAGCAGGTACTAACAGTATTTTGAAATGATCTGACAACCCTAGCATAAGTGGGCACCACATCTTGATGATTCTGCAATGAAATAATCCCTCCTAAACTTGTGAACTGAACCCTGAATAACAACTTTGTTGCTGCTACTGGAGCAATTCCTAGAAGAACTGCGGAAGGAGCCATCCCTCTTACAGGCTACTTCATAGAACAGCTATGAAGAAATCCAGTTAATATTTGTAAAAGCTGATCTTTCATTCTATTTCTGTAGAACAACACATAGCTGGGGGCAGGGGGAGGGATTTAAAAAATCCTTCTTTCTGAACGAAACTCAAAAGGACACCAAGTCTAACGCATTCAACTAAGGCATGGTGTAAAAGCCTGATTTTTAAGGATCTCTGCCTCCAAACATCACTAGTTACTTCTGAAAGTTTTGACTGAGTCAAAATATTACACAGAATTAAACTTGTTTCAGGAATCCAAATCTTATTGAAGAAGTCATAATGATATTTTTAAGTACAGCTTATTAGAATAATGGTAGCTACAGTTACAATTTTGAAGGGAAAAAAGGCAACAGGAAAGAAAGGAGACAGAAATACAGCTTGATAACATTCATAGAAAGGTACTCACAAACAGTAGAAAAGTCTCTACTACAAATAGGAGGAGCAGAAAACTAACCACTTAAGTCTCATTATATATTCTGTTCAATACCCAGATACCTTTAATCATAGGGCAGAAAGATGAATGAAAACAGTATCGCCAGTAGCTTCTGCATAGCAGTCTTTTCATGCCACAACATGTAAAAGTAGTATGTTTTGTTTGGAACTTTCAGTTAAGGTACATCTCTGCAATGTTACATCATTTAAAGGTACTAATTCATCTTACTTTGCAAGTTACTAAAGAGTCAGTTACTAAGCTACATGTGTTTTAAATTATTCAGTTCTAAACTTAAAAAAAAAATTATCCTATAATTAAAGTTACAGCATGAGCCACTCATGGTAATGGCTCAAATCTCAAGCTTCATGAACAACTGACTCAAATTTTTCTACCTCAGGGTAGTTACACTCTGTATCCCCTATTTGAATTTTCACTTTATTTGAAATTATACAGCAAAGTAAGTTTAAAAAGGAAAACCAGGAGAAAACGCACACGAGGTATTCTAATGAAATGCTGAAAGAGTTCAACAAACCTGTCTGCTGTCCAGGCTGCGCCAATGGTTGGTTTTGCTGTGTGTTGTAATGGACAGAAACAGGTCGGTACTGTTGACTGGAGTGCGGATACTGATTGGGGGTACAATAACAAGCCGGCATCTAAAAAACAAACAACAATTAAAGAGATTCACTACCTGCAAGTTTATAGAAGGCAGACATCTACATGCAAAAAGAATTACATGATAAAAGATGCAAAACTTATTAAAAGGTGGAACTAATGTTAAATGGTTTAGCAATTAAAAGAATACTTATAGTACATAAATTCCCTCTTTAACAGCCCATTTCTTCTACTTTCACTGCAGAAGTAACAATTCCCAGTTTCCACAAAGAAACATCCGAGACACTAGAAAACTATGCAGAACGTGAGTTTTACCAGCTACAGGTAAATACCTGGGTGATTATTCCTCCTCAAGTAAACCGAAGTCATTCATGTCAAAGCATGTAAGCCAGAAAAAAACCCCAAGCCCAGAATAAATGCATGCAGCTGCAATTGAACAGGGAGCCCCCCTCCATATAAAAACGTCATTAATAGAACAGCATGATCAGTTTTAAAAATACAGCTTTTGGGAGGATGGAAACAGAGCCATCGTACCTGCGGCACAGTTTGCTGCATATATCCCTGCTGCTGGAGTACTTGCTGGTTGACAGGGTGGCTGGATGCCGAGTAGCCTGGAGCAGAAACTGGTTGGCCAGAGGGTGGTGGTGGAGCAGTTGCGATGATATAACCGGACTGCTGCGGGGGCTGCAGGACTACAGTGGACTGGAACATAGCAGCATGAGGTTCGGCTGGATCAGCAGGTGGCTGGCGGGCAAGACTCATATGGCTAAATTGCGATCCTAGGTTGTCTTGCTGTAATAGTTTACAAAAAAAAAAAAAAGGAAAAGTTACATTCACAAATGTACATTCAAGGAAAAAAAAAAAAGACTAAAATAGCCAACTATCTCAGTAAGTTTGAGATATGTGTGTCTCAAGTAACTGTGCATTAGCAACATCAGCCAAAGAACAACAGGAAAGAACAAGATGGAAAACTGTAGTAAATTATCTTCAGGGCTGACAGCAGGAAAGAACATCCACATTCAGAGACTTCACTCATTTCACGACAAATACTCAATTTTTGGATTACACCTGCCTCTATCTACTTATTGTAAGAATTCAATTGTCAAAAATAAAGTCAGAATTTGTGTCACTAACATTTTCTGATTGGACTCCAAAGCTTGAGGGAAAAGATCTAACCCCAGTTAAAATAGCAGAAGGCATCAGTATTGCTAAAGTAATTTTTGGTTTTAAGAGCTTAAGTTAACGAGGCTCTAATCCTGAATAACAAGGTACAGTCCTCTAACTTGGTATTATACTACATGCACGGATTATTTTTTTTTTTAGCCTGAAATCAAGTAACAGCTACAAGAAACGTATTCTAGTGGTTACCTACTATCTGTATTTTATTAACATCTGAAACTATGATACTGATTGCACTGAGCACTGCAGGAGTCCTGTGAAATTTGAATCTTCTATTACTGTAACCCCAAGCTCCTTTTCTTCACAAGCCATTCAGCATCAGATTATCAACATCCTGAAATATTACCTCTAAAAATGTCTAAAGGATAAACCCAAGCAATACACATTTATTTCTGTTACACTACCAATACGAGTAAATTCTGGTCAGTTTGTCCTACAGTGATACGTATAGCACAAGCATGATTAACCACTGAAACATGGTATTACCAACAAACAGATAAAGCAAGCTTACTGGTACCAACTACAGATGTGTCGCATTTAGATGACGAACCAAGACCATCAAGCCTTTTCACTATGGTGCTTAAGTTACCATCAGCAGAACTAAATTTTTGCAACTGCCAGCACACTTAGTATTTGAACCCATTTACTGACTGTGAAATGAACTTATAAACCTGGAAGGAATTTCATTTTCTGCTTGTGAATCATAGCATAGAGACACCTGAACTAGCTGCTAACAACAGCAATTTAGTAATATGCTAAACTCACAGAGGAATCTCACATTGGTTAATTAACCTCTCATTACTAAGGAGGTAAGTTACACTGACTGCAGTTCACATGTATTCAAACTCTAAAATAACATGAGAAACAACATTGCTAAAAAACCCCACCACCCTCCATGAAGTGCAATTCCTTTTGGAATTGTATACCTGAAGTACAGATAACAGTTACAGTATCATTGTAATTACACAGAGGCTATTGAATTCAGATAAATCCGTATCTGTTATTAGAAGATGTTTCTGACTAATGTTGAAATTAATAACAAAATAAAACCTCTGAACACATACTAAAATGTGTATATTGTATAACATTGTGGTGGGTTAACCTTGGCTGGCTGCCAGGTGCCCACCAAGCTGCTCTCTCACTCTCCCATCCTTAGCAATACAGGGGGAGAAAATAAGATGAAAAGCTCACGGGTTGAGAAAAGGACAGGGAGATCGCTCACCAATTACCATCACAGGCAAAACAGACCAGATTTGGGGAAGATTAATTTAATTTCTTGCAAATTAATAACAGAGTAGGATAGTGAGAAATAAAGCCAACACTAAAGCCAGCTTCGCCCAACCCCCTGCTTCTTCCCAGGCTCAGCTTTGCTCCTGATTTCTCTACCTCCTCCCCCAAGTGTCACAGGGGGACGGGGAACACGGGTTATCATTGGTTCATAACACTTGGCCTCTGCTGCTCCTTCCTCCTCACACTCTTCCCCTGCTCCAGCGTGGGGTCCCTCCCACAGGAGACAGTCCTCCACAAACTTCTCCAACGTGGGTCCTTCCCACGGGCTGCAGTTCTTCACGAACTGCTCCAGCATGGAGCATGACCCCACGGGGTCCCCAGCCCTGCCAGCAAACCTGCTCCAGCCTGGGCTCCTCTCTGTGGGCCACAGCTCCTGACCTCCATGGGCTGCAACTTCCTTCGGGGCATTTCTACCTGCTCTGGTGTGGGATCCTCCATGGGTGCAGGGGCACAGCTGCCTCACCACGGTCTTCCCCATGGGCTGCAGGGGAATTGCTGCTCCAGCATCTGGAGCACCTCCTCCCCCTCCTTCTGCACTGACCTTGGTGCCTGCAGAGTTGTTTCTCATTCCCCTCCCTCACAGCTGCTGCACAGTGGGTTTTGCCCTTTCTCAGATACATTATTACAGAGACACCACCAGTGTCAATGACTCAACTCAGCTTTGGGCAGCACAAGGTCGGCCTTGGAGCTGCCTGAAATTGGCTCTGTCCGACATGGGGGCAGCTCCTGGTCCCCCCTCGCAGAAGCCACCCCTGCAGCACCCCCACTACCCAAACCTTGCCACATAAACCCAACACAAACATGTAGTCATTAGAGTATCAGAGCAGTCTGGGGAGTTGGGAAGCCTCAATTTTTGACCTGGACTCTAGTTCAGATCCTGCCTTGGATAACTCTTCTCCTTTACTAGGTTTCAGTTTCAATTTGTGTGGGGGTTTTTTTGTTTGTTTGCTCTGTTTTTTAAACCCAAAAGACTAAGATATTTCATTTCCAGCTTCTATTTATTAAACAAGGGATGCTAGTGAAGTGGGAGTGTGAAGAGTTCTGGCAAAGAGGCTAGAAAAAGGTAACCTCAAAAAACCAGCAGACCTGATCCCTCAAAAGCTGTTAGATTCAGAAGAAGAAAGAGCAGACAAAGGAACAACAAGAAAGGTTGGAAAGCGGTTAACTGAGAGCCATAAAGAGGTAGACTGGCTAACAAAACAATAGCATTGAAAAGCTGTTCCTTTACAAAGGGAAATAACATATAACTAAATATCTAAACAAAGAGCTATATAGGTATAGCCTTAATTGTATACATTTCTGCTAAACTTGAAATAAACACGCTAAAATCTCAGGAACTATTTTCCCCCACACAGGTAATATTTTACTGTGATTGAAAAGCTAGCCAGTCATTACATTGGTATCGCACACCATTTACAAACAACCAAGCAAAGGTCAGCATCCACTAAAGATTAACCCATGCAGAGAGGAGATGAACAGAAGATATAATACCACAGAATATTGCTGTGTAGAGGAGACTGGCAGGAGCGGGGGTGGATAAGAGACTGCAGAGTACTGAACAGGCTGGGAAGAAGGCTGCAGAGGCCGCATAGGCTGAAGAAATAACAGGTTTATAAACATGGTTAACATCAGAGTAAGAGAAGTGAAAACAAAGTCAAAGTCTTTTGTAACAGAAAAAAGCAACTACAGCTCCATTACCAGAAAGGGAATGATACTACTTTTTTTTAAGCTCAAGACTGCATAGAATTAAAACAAAAGTGATTTTCAAATCTCAGTCTCCCAGCAGAAATACATTTGCTTTATTTGTTATGCATTATATTAGCTGCAAGTCAGCAGATTGCTTCTATTTAACATTCACTGTTTCTTTTAGAGAGATTTTTTTTAAATGATAAAATAAAAACTACACATGCATTCTAAATACAAGTTGTTTCAAAGCATCTAAAGACAGAATGCATTTACTACTAACCACAGATTAAAACATAGTACTTTCACTTATTCAACAACACTAAAGTATTTTCTCTAAATTGTGGTTATCTGAACATCAGAGAGGTATCGCTGCTGATAATGTTTCGGGCAGGCTCAGCTCCACTGAGAATCCACTGAGAAAGGAATCATAGAAGTAGTAAAGAATTTGTGAAGAAACTGCAAGTATCACATACACACTTCCGTAAACTAGATAGGGAGAGAGAGTACAAATGAGCCTTTTTCAAAAGAGACCATCTCTACTGCAGCATACGCAGGTATCCTGAACAGAAGATTTAAACACGGAAAATGAACAAGGAAAAAGGTTTAGATGAAGTTCTATAAATAGCTTCTTGATAAAATTTGAGAACAATTTGAAAATGCCACAGGAAACTATAGCTGGTAGCTTGTGCCTTCTCTTGCTCATACACACTCTTGGCTTTTCTTCTTCTTCAAGGGCTGAGGTCCTCTTTAATCTGGCCTATATTACTAAATTCCTCTTGTACAAGATGAGGATAAAATACATCTTGTACTTCAGAGTGCAGTTTTGTGAGTAGAGTAAGCCCAAGTGCTACTTAAGAGGCATTCATACTCTACCAGTCCTAAGATACCTCTTTTGTGCCACCAGTACTGCTTCTGCGGTACAGCCCAAGAATTCATCTGGCTAAAAAATAACCTTAAGACAAGGAAACAAAGATTTCAGTTGGATTAACTCTCTTCCCAGATTCCTGACTACATTACTGTTAATGCCAGGAGTAACCACACAGTGTGACTAAGGATGAAGGCAGAACCTCTTTTCCAGAGCAATCTAGCCTTGGTATGTTTTAGTACTAAAATATTTTCTGTGTTTTTAAGAAAAGGCTGCCTACCATGTTCATTTCTTAGCAGAACTGATAGTTCTGAGGACTGTGGGGGAAAAGGTCCCACTACCCGTATCTGTGTAGCTATTACTTCTTAACATATGCTTCAACAGTACCGATCCCTTGTTAGCAGACAGCAATACGCCAGTATCAGTCATCAATACAAGCATCATGTATTTGACATGTGCACCTGTGAGAGGATGTGATTAGCTGCTGGCTGTTGCTGAGGTGGTGCGGGAAGAGGCGGCTGTTGCGGAGGTGCAGGCACTTGGGTCCTAACAGGTTGCTGAGGCATAGGAGGATTGTACACAACTGGAGTGCCATCGGGATTAAGGAAAGGCTGACCTGAAAAGTTGAAAGAGAACAAAGACAACCAAATGACAGCCAGCTGCATCATCTGAGTTTGAAGCAAGTAAAGACAAATGTATTTACAGTAGGCAAAATGAATAAGATAATAAAATTTGAAAATAAGTGAAGTCATACTGTTTTACATGACAGATTTATGCCAAATCCCCACAACCACATTTATAATAGCAACGACTAAACAGGCCTCATTTGACACACTGCATGCAGTTAAAAAACAAAACATATAAGGTAAACAAAGACACCCCAATCTTTACTTAGCGAACGCAGATAAACATTTGCTGTATCCTGCTTTTCTTGAAAACTCATTTTTAATCAAGTGGATTGAAAAGGGCGGGAGTAATAAAGGAAAACCCTACTAAAAATACTATTTTAGAGGACCTTTTAAAGGGCAATTAAATGAATCCCTTTTAATCAGTTTGAACACCAATCAGAACACAGGAAAGCTTAAGGGCAAATATTTTAAAAAACATATATAAAGCAGTAGCTGCAATGGTACTCCCATAACTGCTAATGAGATTACTGCTGAAGGATTCTCTTCCCCTATTCATAGATGAATTGGCTTTTAGCTTTCAAATGAAATAATGTAGTATTATTCTCCTATTTAATAATTTGCAACTTCAATATTACAGCAGTGGACTAATGAAAAAGAATTAAAAAATAAACTATCTAAAAGTAAACTATAAACTAACAGTGATTTATTTTGGGGCCTGGGTTGGGAAAAAACAAAACAAATCAAAGGAAGAAAAGATTAGCTAGCAAGGACCTGTGTCTAGCTGCTTAATGACATGTGTCTTGCATTGGCTTATTTTCATGCTTAAGGTCCAAATACTGATGTAACTTTCTCTCTCCTCCGATATAAATATTTTCGTGTCTGAGATTCTTTCCAGAAAGGTATAAACTGAGACTAAAGCCTTTGCACCCTAGTCAGGGTCCTGTCAAAGTAGACTAATGCTCCTTCGGCTTCTTCGTCCCATGATATTTAAATGCAAGTGGCCAACATAAAAGCGTAAAAGTTACTGGAGAGGACTGAGGCAATTAATGCAAGAGATAGACAGGAAGCATGAACAGACTTGCTATATTCCGTTTAGCTTAATGGATTTCTCTTTAATGCTCAAAAATTGGGAATGTTCACATAAATAGGGAGTCACATTTTCTTATTTCCTTCTACCACTTTCTGGTAATGACTGGAGCTTAACTTGTTTCCTCTAGTGGCTGAATAAGAGCTGTCTTTTCCTAATAACTGTCTTCAACTACCAAGAATGACTCTGTTGACCTAAGGTCATAAGATCCTCTGCCAGAAACGTTGAGAAACTAATCTATGTTTTTTTGAACTCTGACTGTCATTTGGAACAATAAAGCCAGATGAACAATTACAGAATATGATGATTCAAGTACATTTTAAGTTGAAAGTTTATCTGAACCTAGATGTTCCTTGTTCTGGAAGCGCAGTTTATCCTTAGAGGATTATGTTAATATCTAATGAGTGTCTGTTATGAAAGACTACTAATGACTGGTTTAAATACATTAAAAAAAAAGTGGATAAAATGTAGGAAAACAAAATCACAATTTGAAAATCAAGCTAATTTTAAGGAATATCAAACAGTCAAGTCTACAATTCTGCTGCCTTTTGTGAGGAGGGGTGCAAGTACAAGATGCTTTCAGATGAAAAACTTTCACAATCACATTTGTTTCTCTGCCCTTCCCTGTTGCTCTGTGGAAGTCCCATCAATGTAACAGGGAAAATGACCAACAGTACAGGAGGAAGAAAGCAAAACTAATCACATGCAAAATGTTGGCAAGCACATAACTGAAATGAAGATGACGCAAAACCCGCTATTTTTAAAATGAAAAAACTGTATCGTGTTTTACATGAAATCACTTTCAAGCTGATGGTATCGTTTCAGTGCCTGCAATATCTGTTTTGCTGTACAGTAACTCTAAAGATTTTAGCACAGTGATGCTATAAACTCATCATTTGAAAAATGACAGCCAACATTCTTATTTAATGTGGAGTACAAAGTACTCTAGTGTATAGAAACACTAAACCCACTTATTTTTCTAGCAAAACTTGTTCACCAATCATCATATTTGGCTTCAGATGGTCAACACACACAATGGAAAATTCATGTAGAAGATACAGAACTATCACACTAGAACTAGAAAAACTAAGTCAATAGTGCTATTGGCCGGAACCTAGATCTAAGATGGGAAATGCATCCTCCTCCAAATCCAATGGCTATCTATGGAAATTAGATGCTACAGCTAGTCATTTGTAACCAATTTTTTAGCAGGGTTGGTTTAAACTATTCGTTTATACAGTAAGGCATTTAAGAGAAACCTTAGGCAGCATATCAATATGCAGAATCATTAATAGAATCTCAAATTTTGTATACAACAGCAATTGATTTATATTATGGGAAAAAAGAGAAATGTATCTATTTCAACGTTGAGCCTTTTAGTTATAGAAGAGAAATACTTTAAAAACTGATCATTTTAACAATGCCAATGAGAAAAATTTAGTTTAAAACATCACATGCAGTTACATTCAAACATAATAAAGTCCATCTACAGAATGATGGGAACTATATCCTGAAGTATTTCCTTTTCTACAAGGAAAACAAATCTTTAAACTCAAATTAAAATATAATCACTTTCCAAAGATTACGATGTGTTGCATAAAAGGAAAATTAAAATTTTCTGGATTTCTTAACTTCTACAATAAAGTAAAAGTTTGCCCAGAGAACGCTCACTAGTCATTTAATCCAGACAAGTAGTTACACGTCTTGCATCTACATTATGAAGTATCAATTTCCTGCTACTTACTAAAAATATCAGTATTGGCCAATTATGCCAACATTGATTTCATCCTGTTTTAAACTGACAAACAGAGGTTTAGAAATAGCACATAATATCATGCTTATTTCTTTCACTTGTATTAAGTCAGTGTCGTGAGTATAAAGAGACAAGTATAAATTGCAACAAACAAAATGAAGGATGGTAAATTCTTTCAAGTCAATATGAATACTTATTCAGGCTCTCTTCCCTCATTGAAACTGTTTTATAGTAGCACTGGGAAAGACTTTTACCTCTCTCGAAAAAAGCCGAAAATTCATTTAAGTTATTCTGCGTTCTGGATAATAAATCATAGGATTTTTATATTTTGTGTAAGTCACCCATTAAAATTTTACATACAAGTTAAAACTCTACTAGAGAAAATCAAGTGAGTTTACTTATTCCTCTGATCCTAGAGTCATGCTTTCTTTTTAAATTAAGTGCACTGAACAAACACAACCACAGGAAAAAAAAAAGAAAAAAGAGAAAACGAGAAGGACAATACTGACACTCAGTCTTATGTAAACACGCGTGCATTTTTCTCCAAGTTCTCAATTGTAATAAAAACATCCACAAGCATGTACCAACCTGTTTGAGGGTTGATCAGAATACTGCCAGGCGGTATGCCTGCCGCTTCCAAGGGAAGCAAAAAGAAGCTAGTGCTAGTAGGTGCCACTTGCCCACTTATGCCACCATCAAAGGAAAGAGAGTTACTAGTGCTGACAGTTGGATAGACGGCAGGCGTGCCATGAGAAGGCTGGCTTAGAGCTGGCACTGGAAGAGGCTGCTGGGTGTGAGAAAGAGAACCCGTGGATGACCCTACACTACTAGAAGACTCTGAACCTAGGAAAGGAGTAATGAGAAATTGTTTTTACCTAGAGACAGAAACATCATGCTCACTTAAAATATATACTTGTAAATGCTTACCCTTAAAGCTCAGTGTTAAGTACATTATTAAACAGTGGCCTTTCCAATGAACTCCCCCTTCATCTCCCCTGGAATACCATTACAACATTCCTTCTGTGAACCAAAGGTCAATTCAGCACTGCTTTGCACTGTCAAGTGAGGCGTTCATATCTAGCTCTGATTTTCTGGACAGAAAATACATGCCTGTACAGACGCACATGTGCTAATGTTCATTGTGATGATTGTTCATCCGCAATTCATTTAAGTGATTGGTCACTTACTCCAAACTGATACACGCACATGTATCAACTGGAAACACTGAAGCGATGAACACACAGCCTACAACTATTGCATGTGTCCAGGCCATGGAGTAGTGCAGATGCAGTGGGCCCAACGCCCCTTCAGATACGCTAAATTCACATGCTCCCTAGACGTAGCCTGCATGCAAGCAATGACCATTTTCTTTTTACTACTAGATGTCAGAGATCTTCTGACTCACCTGCTGGACAAATTGCAGAATACTAAAAAACCCAAACCTATTTTTTTTTTCCTCCCCTGACAATTTTCAGACTGAAGTCAAGAATACAGCTGGAAAAAATTATGGTAATACGGTAGCTTTAGCCTAGTTTTATGCAACAATCCAAAGTTCAAAAGGAATATGAAATAGCTGATTGAAAGCAATAATCATTTTACAGATATGAATGACTATAAACATTGCAAGGCAGTGGAGAACTAGACGCTGAGCTTTCTGAAAGCCAATGCATGCAGCTAAAAGCAATATTCCAAAAGTCCAATACGGAGAGGTCTGTAGAACTGCACTGATCCCAGATCACTGTATACCTGGATCTCTAGGTATACAGTTTATCATACTTTTTATGAAGTCTTTGCTGATACTTGCAGTACTTGGAGAGAGAATATAGTTGTTTAAATTTAAGAACTCTTCATTAGCAGCCTCTATACAATCTAGAAGAGAAAGCAAGATTCAAAAAGGGCTGTGACAAGATTTATCTGTTTGAAGTTACTTTGCAGCCCTTCATAAAAATTTCTAATTGTAACCCTTTTACTTGTGTGTATGAAAAGATAGTATAGCTTGAAGCATTTGCTGATGCTGACCATTAACCTTTTTTCTATTGCTAGATGAAGTGAAATACAAAGCTATTAATTGTAAAATGGGCCAAATAGCATATCCCAGCTCTGTGAAACAATCTCCACCTGACCAGAGTTACTTTGATTAGATTTGTTTACAAGTGTATCCACTTCTAGATTATGTAGAGAAATTAGGCTGAAGCCATCATAATTAAAGCCAATTAAATCTTTGATCAAAATAAACAAACAAAACTAATCTCAACACATGCAAAATCACCACAACCTGTAAGCACAGTGAAGCAACAACCATTGAGATAGGCATTCTGAACTTTGAATGTTAACTCTTAGAATGCCAAAATAAAGTTTCCAGCGAAATTTTAAGAATCCATTTAGGTTCTTGCAATTTAGAAAACAAAGGTTTCTAAGAATGGTTTTTGTATATACTCTATTGCCAGGTTGTATTTTCGTTTTAAGCTGTGCCAAATAGTATTACTACATTGCTAAATGAAATAACTCAATATGATGGCATAGTTTTACAGCATATGCAGAAGTACCTTGGAATGTATTTTTTTACACAAGTATAAAATGGACAAACAGAATTTGTAACTGTTTTACTGCATTAAGATATGGAAGTGTGGTGATATACTTATAAGGTAGTGGTGGTTTAAGGGAAATCAAAAAAATTAAACACATCCTCATTAGAAACAAGTCTTATAAATAACAAAGCCAAGCATAACACAGGCAAGCAATAATATTCTGCTTTTTCAGTTCTACTTCAAATTCTGAAGTAGTGCAACCATAACCCACCCATGTATTACACGCCTCAAAATTCTCCACAACCAAGATTATCTATTGGATCAGATTTATGTTAGCATTTGGAATACAAATATTTACTAAATTTCATTTTTGACCCACAGAAGATTTACATCCATATTTTGTGAGATTTTGTTTTGACATTAATTACAGGTTAACACACCTTTGAAACCCAGAATCTTATAAAATGAGTATTTTCCCCCCCACCATTTCTGAATCTTAAACAGTACACTTTGTTCCACTGATCTGATTTTTCAGCAATCTAAAAATTAAGTAAGCTTTTTAGCCATATTAATTTAAACTTAACAATGCCACTGAAAGATAACACAACAAATATAACTAAAAAGTCATAGGCTTTAATGCTGTTTTTTCCTAGCCAGTAGGATAGCAGCGCAGTTTCCTAAGACTGCACAATGCAGCTTTGCCACACTGAAACTAAAGAGTTGAACTCTAATTTTTTATTTTGAATTCAGTACTTATGTTGATAAATGTTTCCAAATCCTCTGTATGAGATGAAATGCATTTAACTTAAAGCCATCTCTAAAAATGCATTTAGCTTAAAGCCATCTATAATGCACTTGAAAATTCTACTTCCAAAGTCAAAAGTCTTCATTTAATTTGTTACCTGAACTCTAGCTCTCCAAGGCAGTTATGCCTTACAGGGCTAGGTCTGTAGTCATTCTGCGTATGCAGCACCCACTGTACCCAGAGGGAGTTGTATGCATGAAGCACCTACGAGACTGAGGCCTCTACATATGTACACACCTGCAATACCCATCAAGTATCAAACCATCAGGTACTTCACTGCTACGTAACTATGTATTTGTACAGATTTTATTATACCTGTCTTAGACAGCCTGCCTGTGCTTTTGCTGCTTCCAGAGCTATCTCCTCTTGTCAGAACTGATATCCCACTGAAGCTGCTGGCTTTCGTTACAGCTGGCTTCAGATTGCGGATGGAGCTATCAGAGTCGGTGCTGCTCCAGGGACGGGGTTCACAATACTTCAGCTCATTCTCAGTACTGCTCTGATGGCTGTTGGCTGATCTCCCTGATGTTTCCTTATTGATTCTGTAAGTTATAAACTAAACTTTTAGCACAAGCATCAATTGCAAAATAAGGGAAAAGAAAAAAAGAAAAAAAAAAAAAGAAAGAAAAGAAAAGGTGAAATGCATGCAGAATACTTTGGGATTTTATTTTTTTTTTTAAAGAAAGCATCAAATACCTAAGTATCTGTCGTCTTTGTTGTGTACTATTAGTTTCTTCCTCCTGGATTCTGTTGACATTTTAATAAGATAGCTTAATATTTATTAAGAAAATAGGAAAATGAAACAGAATTAAACTGCAAATTTTCTTACCTTTTATCAGTGAAATAATTCTCTTGGGAACACAGGGACTGAGGGGCAAAGAAGTGTAGAAGTTAATATGAATGGCATCTAGAACCCCTACTACAGCGCAGTAACAAAACAGGCTGCAATTTGAAGACTTCTGTATTATACATGGACTTTTACAGCATCTTCTTTATATTAAGCTCCCTGAAAACTTAACCTCTTTGGTGGGTAATTTCCATGTTATGGGAAAGACAATATAAAAAGGCCCATCTGCAGGAAATAAAAGTTAGCATTAGAACAGTTACAACGCTGACCATTTTGTTTGTATCAGTATTTTTCTGAAGTTACAATTCTTCCATTGGGCCTTTGCTGCCTTATGTAGCTTCCAGCTGACGTGGGACTTCCCAAGTCTGATAACACCACCTGAGTTGCCTTGTCTTCTGCTTGAAACTGTGAAGTAGATGATGATGCTGGCTACTGCACTAATTGTACTGAATTCTTTGGGTACGAGTACACGTATGCTAAAAAGCAGATAGAATATACAATCAAAAAGGCTATTATTAACTTCAATTACGTCGTCTCCTTGACTGTGACTTCTAACATCTGTACGAAGCTTCTAAGGGTACAATACATGGTAAATGAGCACGCAAAAGGAAAGGTAATTTTATATCCAAAAGGCCATTCTTTTTGTTCGTAACTAAGGTGAACAAAAAAAAAAACCAAACAAAAAAACCCCCACTTTTTGGATATAGCAAATTAGCCTCTCAGAGCTCATTACTCTTTCTTCAGAACAAAAATCTGCTTCTGAATGTGTAAGAGCTACAGATAAATGTCAGAAAAAGTGGATTATTAGAAGTAATGCATATTTTTTAAGACGTATTAGTTGTGTTTCAGTCAGTATAATTAAATATAATTTAATTACTTGTGTTTGAATTATAGTTTACAATGTTGTCCTGCTTGATAACTCCAGTCAAGAGAGACCAGACTTCTAGATTACTGACTGAAATTTCACACAGAGGAATTCAAATCATTTCACTGTGACCAGTCATAAGATGTGTTTGATATAGACACAAGTGAGAAAAAACAAAATTTTGGTTTTGTTTTTTGGTTTGGGTGGGTTTTTTAATTGTGGGTTGGTTGGTTGGTTTGTTTTTAACTAATTATTGCTCTGAACAACAACTGGAATGACTGCAGTACCAAAACTCTGTAACTTAAATCTCAGTACAGGGCAATATAATGCATTGAAATAGGTAACGCTAGATAATGCACCAAAATAATTCCTGAAGGTTGCTTGAGTTTCATACAGTAGTGATTTAGAGAAAACAGAAGATTTCTCAGCAACTTCAATATCATTTAAAACTCACTCAGGCCACACTAATGATTCTTATCTGCTCAGTCCCCTTCAGAAACAGAAAGTTTCTTGGAAAGAAGTATCCTTTACCAAAAACCACATGTGCATGTATGTGTGTGAAGCATTTATACAAAACACCATAAGATTTTCTTTGATACATACATCTTGTGCAAATATTCTTTCTCTAGCTCTCTGATATTCTTCTTCACGTTCTTCTATGGATTTACTTCTTCTGTCATCTTTTAATCGTATTCTCATCTAAATTAAGTGATACAATGTCAGCTTCTGCAGGAAAATAGTATAAATACACAGTCAAATACAGCAAGTGTAAGGAAATAATCCATATGTATTTTACCTGGTTGTCATCTTTATCTAAACTAGAGTTATCCCTTTTAAGGATGTACCGCTTCTGGAAATCATCACTCTTCTCATCCTTTATATGCTCACAAAACTTTTGGTCAGGTCTGTGAAAAGTCATTAGAAAGAAAAGATTTATAGTTTTGTAAACATATACTATATAGAGTAGAACAAACAAATATAGTCAAGATTAATGTTAAATATACTTAATATTCTAACTGAAGTGATAGCTTTTGGTTGTCCAGGCAATGGAAAAGGTACCAAAAACACAGGATGATGTGTACCCCTGTGAAGTCCTGTTTCTGAGGCATAACAAACCTGCTTTTAAAATCTCTTCCTCCTTCAAAGCTTTGCTTCAATTTCCCATTAACGTGGCAAGCAAACCACATGCCCTTGGGGAATCAGAAGTGCTCTTGAATCCAGACTGGTGCCATGCAATGGATATTGGGCATGCATGGAAGTGAAGATAGGTGCTTTCTGCTAGAGCTGTAATACCTCAGAATTAATTTCAAGGGAAAACAGAAGATAAGAAGATAGAGGAGAAAGCATTGAAACGTACAAACTTCTAAAACAAAATGAAGTAGAAATAAGCAAGAGAAAAAGAACAGTACAATGCAGGCAAGCAAGAGCTTCACAAGATCACAGTGAGAGGATGAAGCAACAGATTATATATACTGTTTTGGTATTCTATCTACTTTGTGAAAGAAAATGAGATATGTTGCAAACTCTCGTTATTAAAAATAGATACCAAGTACCTAGACAATAAAACTACTACTATCGTAAGAGAAGTTCTCAGACAATCAGGAAATATTTGTCTAATAAAAGACAAAACATATCTATACTCTTCTCTGTTTCTGTTTCTTTATTCATTACCCAGGACATCTGTATCGATTCAGGAGATCTTTTTCTATAAAACAGCCAAACCTAACTATTAGTTACTGGATGCCCAAACATAATTAGCAGGCATTTCAGAGAACCTTTAGACTGTCTTACCTCTTTCTTTTAAAGGTCCCTGAATTTACTGCCCTGCAATCACCAACTTCCCACTCCACTGAGACGTCCCAGTATGCACTGGGTTGTTGATGTCAGTAACATCACTGATCGGCGATGGAGCCGGGAATCTGCCTATGAGGAAAAGGTAAGTTTGGTTTTATTCAACATGGAGCAGATCTCCAAGGTTTTCTTTCTAAATTCTTATTTTATATCCAAAGTGATTTAAAATAAGAATACTGAAAACATTAAGAATCTTAATGTCTGCAGGTTAGATGAAATGCCTGCTAATTAGTAACTACACCTATAGGGGGCTTCCAGAGGCCATAAGCTATTTAAATATGGTCTAGAAAAAAAAAAAAAAAAAAAAGCATAAAAATGAAGAAATCATCTTTTAGTAGTTCTTATTCCACACTTGAAATGCTAGACTGAAGCTTCAGTCTAGAGGTGCTGGTAGATGCAAAAGCAACAGATTTGAAATGTATGGCTCTATAAGTCAATTTAGATAGAGAATGTCTAGCCAAAGCAAAAACACATACATGAATACATAAGTTATTTAACATACATTTAGGCTCTACATATTTTTCTAGAAACTTTTGAGGAGGCAACTGTTTACTTAAGTGAAATTTCAGTGTGGCATATTATTTCAGTTCTACTGACTCTAAAATTAAGGTGGATAATTAGATTTTTTTTCTCCCAAAGCTACAGAGAGTTTACGTAGAGACTGGGTTTAGGATGCGGACACTGTAAACTCTATTTTCATTTTCAAATCATAGAGTACTTAAAAAAAAAAAAACAAACCCTAAACAATAAAAAATGGTGTCAGGCAAATACTTCAAGTTAAAACTAGAAACTAGGTGGCATAAATATACCAACACATTAGTCCTTTGTCTTTCTGAGAGAGAATGAGGAGACAGAGCAAGTGCAGAGGACAGAGAGAACAGCTGGGTCCTTTGAATGAAAAGGTCAACTATGCATGGGTTTTGGAATTGCTGTGGCCCAAATGCTACTTTTTTTGCAATATGGATTTGCCTAGTGGTTTCTCAAAAAAATCCCCAGCCCTCACAGTGAAGTAGCATGCCATGACTTGTTAACCTTGTTGACAATTCCACGGATGTCTGTCTTCCCTGCTATATTTATTTTGTTAAGCCCATGTGAGATCTGTAAGCAACATTATTCCAACAAAAGACTTCAATGCCTGAATTTTCCCAGTACGTTTTTACAGTACAAAAGCCAAAGTTGTGCAAGTCTTGTCCCCTCCCTTCACTGAATCAGAAATGACCCTGTTCTAAGTTAAGGGCTGGTTCTGCTTTCCAAAAGAAACAAAGAATGTACTTTGTACACTTTAGTAGTGCAAATCTTTAAACAGATAAATAGCTGATATAAATTCATATTTCATGGAAGCAAAGTTAGCAATGCATCTCTGCAAGAAAAGCAACAAAAATTCTTAATTTACAGATAACATCCTTTTTACCCCAAAAAAGTTTAAACATGAAACAGCTCACATTATTACACAGCGCTGGAACATGAACAGTAAAGATCTTGCAACTACCTCTCCTTGATGCATGGCTCCCAATGAGGAGATAGACCCCCGCTGCTACAGATGCAGCATCATTGCAAAATATATCCCAGGTGTTAAAACTATGCATCAAAAAGGTTTTTTTCAAGACTTTTACACTTACATTCTTGTATTGCTAGTTTTATTTACTATGACTGACTTCCCACTCTGGTCCACATTGTGCTCTAATCCAAAGTAAGCAGCTACCCTGTGCAACAGCATTCTATGGTAAGATGTCATTGGGGGAAACTTTTTTCTTGGAACTCTGGAAGAAAGGAATAGTAGCTTTATTTAATAAACAGAAACACTCTTGAATTCTTTTTTCCTAGAAGAGTACAGTACTTACTCATTATTACCAATGAAATCTAAAATTTCCTGTTCTAATTTCAGCAGCGTCATTCTGTCCCTGAAAATAAAAACACAGCAACTCACATATGAGACACTCCAATAACTGCAGTTGTATTCATCTTAAGAATACACAAATAAGTTCTGTGAACAAGGGATGATGGCAGACTGTAAACAGGACCACCAGATGTCAAATGCTGTATTTTTAGGACAAAGTATTAATTTTCCACTAAGTTATATTGTATTGAACCCACCTAGTGAAACATGCTGTTCTCATCTCAGAAATCAGAATACAAAGATCCTCCAAGTAATCTCTGCCCAGTAGGCTCAACAGAAAGTACAGTCATCAAGAAGACAGTCTCAAGAAGGAAAAGCCATGACTAGGTTGTTTCTTGTTGGTTAGCATGGGTAGTAAGATTTGCAGAGGCCTGAAATGGCCCTTGGATTGTGAAACACATCATAGGATCACTGAGACACAGAGTGATAGAGTACCAATAACAAGAGGCACTACTACAACACTCCAACAACCAAGTGGGTAAAAGCTGGCACACGCTACAATGTGATGAGATATTAAAAGAATATGAAAAAGGTAAAACTCAAGGTGATAGAAATGAGCATTAGTCTTAAAAATGCTTATGCCAGTTCCAGTAAATCATTAACGTGTAATGAAATTAACTGTCACACAGTTCATAACTTGTGCACATCAGACAACTAGGCTTCCCAGTTATTGCACATGTAAACCCACAGCAGACCTTAACTTACAACCTCTTATTTTCATTGGGATGCTTTATGACTTCAGATAGGAACAATGTAAGAGTCTAGCAGAGGTCTGCGCTTTCTAATTTTACTCTATAGGACAGAATGGTATCGGTCCGTTATTATAGCTCATTTTACATTTTTTGCCAATAAAATGGAGTCCCAATACATTATCACATTGGAAATCATAACTATAAAATGAACGAATAACAAATAGCAGCGGAATAGCTTTTGCAACAGCAGCACAATTCCACCGAGTTAATTTCTTGCCTTGTACACATAGCCAGAGACCTAGTATGAAACCCCACTGAGGAAAAGGACAAACAAGGTAGACAGCAACATACTGCAAACCCCAAAGCAACAGAACCCTGTCAACTCTGTTGCTCACAAATGATGGACATGAATTAGGTCAGATTTGGTTTCTGATGTGCAGAGTGAAGATGTGTATCTCCAACTACGGTTATATGGTACAGCTTAAAAAAAAAAAAAATTCCTTTACCTACAACATTAGTGCAAGGCAGTTTAAAGTAAGAGAAGGCAGTTTGGTCTCTAGCAAGCAGATGCTAAGAGAGTACAAGTTTTAGAGTCCCTTCAGGGAGAGAACTGCACACAGAACTCATTATTTGCCTATTAAACATTAAAAGCATTTAAACCATTTCAATGTCCTGAACCTCTGTTCATATAACACACAAATTACAGTGGATTGGTGTTTCAGATAGCCTGTGCAACAAAATCTCATCCTAAATATCTGACATATCTGACATGTAGTGTTAGACACTTAAGAGGAAGGGAAAAAACCAAACCAAACCAAAAAAACCCAAAACAGGTCATGTGACACCTCAGGCATTAACAAGAAAGAAAAACAGAAAGTTGACATTACTGATGCTTACCTGGGATTGTTTTTTAATGTATTTACTAAAAATTCATGAAGATCTATACCAGTGGAATCTGTATACTCTTGGCTGGAATCTAAGGGTGAGGGGGAAGAGAGCAAAATTACACTTTGAAAAAACACTAATACTATTTTTTTCCAATTATTGCTGAACATACTATTTATGAATCAATACTATATAACTGTTAGGCATGTTATTCCCAAAAATTAAATGCTTCCAGTTTCCAGGGAAAAGGCTCACAAGCAAAAAACCAAAACAGAAAACCCAGCAACATCACCCCCCAACCCCCTAATTCAAGTGTGATACAGAAGCAAAAGCTTCAATAACACTGCCAATCTATTAACAAACTGCTGTATATTTTGAAGCAGTGTATCACCTTGAGTCACCTGATTTCCATCAACCTTTGAAGTTTTCTCAATATACTACATTGCACTGTTGTATACACCTCTGTGGACCAGCAGCTGATCTACAGAATTACTGGATGTTGCCCGAAGAAACATTTAAATTCAGAATGCAACAGTTTAACCTTCACAAATGTTATTTTGTATTATTGAAAATCCTTGTTCTGTTTGGCTTTGTTTTCACAACATAATGTTTAGAATCAAAAAGAAGTCTCACAACCTTCTGCCTCCTTTCTGGTTTAAGTAAAACAAAGTATTCAAATTTACATTCTGCTCTCTAAAAGCTATCACTGAAAGAAATGATTAAACACCAAATCTTCCCTTACATGAGCACCTCCCAGAGTTCCAGGTCTTAGAATTCAAAGCTATAGGTGTTTTAACAGTATCTTTGGAACTAGATTTCTTCCAAGAACTACTTATGTGTTAACCTAGTCTAATATGTTAGGCACAGCTCAAACTTATGCCTAGGTCCTAGCTGTTCCAGGTCTTTTTCTGGTCAGTACAGAGAACAGTCATTGCAAATTAGCTTTTCTATTAGCAACGAGGGGACTACTGCAGAAAGAAGGGCAGGATTCAGTGGAGACAGAATCTATGCAGGCTTTTTCATTAGAAACAACAGTGCCAGCAGAGCAGCCTCTTGACCTAATGGGAAACCAGGTAACCAAAGTGTCCAGTCTTCAACAATGAGACCTAAATTTTTCCTGGAGAAAATCCAAGTCCACCTGAGGACAGGGAATCTCTAGTTCCCTGAAGAAGAATGATAGTGGGTTCCTTTATCTGCAGAGCTTATTATGCTATCAATCCTGTTACATGTATTACCAAGAAACTATAAATGAAACCAAGCAAGTTTGAGCATTTATGGTTTGGGATTACTTGTGATTCAGGGGAGGGGGAAAGGTATGCCTAGTAAAACAACTTTAAGATTGAGTAATTATTTACTTTAATTTTCTTAATTTGCAAGTGAGCAATAATTTAGTTATAATTACTAGGAGGCTGATGCTTAAATTCCATCATTTTCTATTTTGGCAGATCCTAAATTGGGAAGTAATTAACTTCCAGAGGAGATACTGGGTGAATTTAGAACAGCTACCTCTACCTTAGGCTTTTTGTCACTTTGCTCTCAACTCCTCATCATTACCTAACATGTCAGGTATTTTTTTAAAGAGGGATGGGGGTGGGGTTTTGTTTTGTTTTGTTTTTTTCCCCCTCCTTAATTTTAGAAGGTGGGCATGTACTTTACAGGTTGAGCAAGTTAGCTCTGAAAGAATGCCCTATTTTTTTAAGGCATCATTTCAAAGACTGAGATTTATAAATGCAGTTAAGTTCTCCATCCTAGTGCTTTTTATTTTGCAAATACCTGGCTGCCAGCTGGGACAAGATGCACTGAAACACCACATGAGGAAGGCCTTACGGAATTGAGGGACACAAGATGGACAAGCGCTACCTGTCTCAAAAAGAATTCTAGCTTTAAAGATATTTCCTACACACTGGTTGAACTAAGATGTTTAGATAAACATTCTGGATCCTTCATTTAAAGCAAGAGCTACACAAATGTTTGCCAACTTAAATGCATAAAGTCTTTGACCTTTAGGAGGCATTAGGTAAGATGGACAGAGACAGGCTTATGTCATTAATTTTACAGTTCTATTTCAGGTTAAAAACCAAAGGTTTTCAGCAGATAGAATATATCTTCAATCCGGAATGCAGCAATATTAAAGTGAAAACACAATACTTGTCATTTTTACACTTATGTAAATAAGTGTACACTTATGTTCCACCCTTGCTCCATAACTTTACAAAAAAATATTTCTAGATACTATCAAAAATAAAACAAAATAAACAAACAAACAAGAAGATTGACTTCTATTGAATAAAGATCAGAAAAAGTACAGAGGTAGTTGTCATCCTCACTTAAGTTTCACAAATCCTGTAACAACGAAGTGTAGGAATAAGAGAATAACTTCTACTGACTAGTAAAGTCAGTTTTCCAAAGAACACTTGGACACAACTGAGGCATCACAACTGCTTTTATGCTGGTCTGCCTAGCAAGAAAGGAAAAACATTTGCTGGAGTCCATGTGTTTGATGAAGCCTCAAAAGCACTGTATCCTCTGGGACCAAATTCCTTCTCCAGCTCAAAGATGTCTGATCTATTTGCTTCATTCAAAAAAGCCGTGTTCATGCAACGATGACCTGGAAGCAAACTATATTTTCTCTAAATATTCTTTATCTACACAGTACATTTAAAAGCACAACAACAGATAGCAAACCTCTTGATAACATTTTTCTGGACAGTTTATCACTGGATTTTTCCTTTTCTGTTTCATCTTTTGCAGGCTTTTCTTCTTTTTCAAAAGACTGTGACAACTGGATCTGAATTTTCTCCTGTCAAAAGTAAAAATCAGTCATCATGGAAATTATTTCAAACAATACCTGTAGGAAAACTGTTTTGTACTACATTACCTGCAAAATAAAGAAGTAAGAAGGAAAATAATTGCCTTCATATTCTTTCTGATCCCACATGTACTTTATGCAACCACAAAATGAAATTATTTATCAGTAAAGCAAAAACTATAGAGAAGGCATAGAAAGTACCATGCACATTTTAGAATTTACACACACTTCCACGCACTGAATGCTATTTCAAAATGAATCCAAAGTATCTTATTTGATATACATATGAAAATAGTTGTTTTTCAGATGTGTAAGTTTTATACAGCTTCTAAATTTTTAAGTAACACTTCATCCACGATGCTTTCCCCGCCCCATTCTTCACAGTTCTTGACTATAAAAGCTTGTTTCAAGTTTCAATTTGGTTTATACCAAGAAGAAAAAAAACCCAAACAAATGTTTCAATCTAAGACAGACCAGCATTCGCAGATCCACAAAAAAGGGAAATATTTACAGTACAATATATCAAAGCAAAAGTTGCAAACCTTACTGTCATCAAGGCTTAGATTCTTAAATTCCTGTATATTTTGACAGAGTAGCTTTGCATGGAATCATCTCAAGATCCATGTTTTTATACAAGTAGATGATCTATCATAAAACCTGTTTCCCAAAAACAGCAAAAAAGGATCTTCCCTTTGAAATTATAACAGTCCCCTAAATAGTGGAAGATTGTCATTTGTTTTTCATGCCTCTTTACTCTTCAACAAGACTGAGAGTGAAGGACTAACATATTTCAGACAGCAAAATGAGAGGAGGTAGGGGGAAACGGAGATGCCACACGTCTGAATGACTCCAAGAGGATGAGTGAGTGGCAAAGTCCTGCAAGAGTGAGACTTCTACGTTACCTTTTATCTTGAACTCCCTCAAATGTCAATTTTGCTCCCCCAGATACCAGAGTTGATGCTGTTACCCCCCTCCCCAGCCGAGAACACCTGATCCTTCCCAACCCAAAAAACCTGCCCCTCATCCATTCCTGCCTATCACTCTTCCATCCTGCACCTAATCCTTTCCCATGCAAGTCCTCACTCTTCCTTCAAACCCACTCTTATTACCCATGTCCAGGGACCTGCTCTAAGCTTCTCCTCATGAGTCATTCCACAGACTTGATCTCACTCAGGTAAGCTGGCCAGAGTTAAATATAGTCAGGATTCACCAAGGCTAAAGACTCTTTCACACGCAAACACGTCCTTGCACAAGCTGCAGTAATGCTCCTCCGTGCTCCAGTACACCATACTGCTCTATCTACCTTGGTCCTTTCACAGCTGGGCAATGGGAACCCTATACTAATGAGGTTATGCTTAAAAATTAGTTTCAATATGCATTTTTGGAGTAACAACTTTTTCAAATGAGAAAAAAAGTTTAGCCAATAGTTTTATCATCTGTCCCTTTCATTATTTTTTCCCTGCATTAAATGTTCTAATAAAACTTATTAATTCATGAACACCCTGGAAAAAACAGCATTACAAGCGTGAAGATTTCTCAGCTTTTATGAGATTATCTATAACCAAGTCTGATAAAAACCATAACCAATCACTAATAATGAACTCTTTTGTATTATTCTTTCCTAGTCTTGAGAATTTACTTGGCTACAAACCTTAAAGAGTCCAAAACAAATCTTCGTCTTCCTGACCTCAAAAACCTGAATATAATTCAAATGGGCAATTTATTTGTCACTACAAAGTGCATTACACCTACTGTTCACCTAGTAGCTGCATAACAGTTGAGAAAAACGCGTTTATGTCTTAAGAAATTATTTCTGACTGATCCAGCAATATGTTATTCTCCACTATACAATAATACTCTACAAAACTATCAGTAAATTAAGGAAATTTTCATAGTTTGATTTTCCTTCACTTACAAATTGATTGACTACATATTCTAAAGTCATCCGAAGTAAAAGCATACAGCAATAGTTTAGTCAAAGGATTTCAGCAAGTAACCATTTTCATACTTCTTTTCCCAACGAGAGCTAAAAAAGGAATAGACATCTGAACAGCCAGTTCTTCTACTACCACCAATTCTATTTCAAAGCGTGATACAACAGAACTGCGTACCAAAGGGCACTTTCTTGTGATTTCATGCTATAAAGACTGTAGCATCTAATTAAATATGACCTACTTGACTGGAAAGCTGCTGAAAAAAAATCTTTTCACTTCTATACTCTAGAATTCTTTTAATCCCACCCTGTTTGTAGCAGGTCTCTGCTGGCATACTGATCTAACAGACTCTTCACTGTAAGTCAGATCACCTGTCTGAAGTCCTCACTGTAGCAGAAGAAATTGTCACTAAATCCTGATTAAACATGAAAAAGCCAAACAAAAAGCGAAACCCCCAAAACATGATAAAATTTCTCCAGCTTAAAACCCTTGAGAAAGAGATAAGAGTCAGGAAACATTACAGAATATGACTCAAAGGCCATACGTCCTGGAGCCTTTACCTGGCTTTTTACCAGCAATCTCTAAAACCAACAACAATCTGCATTTACACAAGTCAGTATAAACTAACATTACAGACCCCCCCTCCTTTGGGTTTTTTATTTTGCTAAAGACAAAAAAGTTCAAACTTGTGAAGTTTTATTTATTTGTTACCCATAATAATAACAACTGTCATTCATATGAAAACAACTCTTCCTTAAAAAAAGCTGAAACAGATCATGATTTGCTAGTGTTTGTACTTTGTATTAGAGCATACAGAATTAGAACAATCTCCGTACCTAATAATTAGGCAAAGGACAGCAAAAGTATAAAGAGTTAGTGTATTTACAAAGATAAAAGATCAAATAAATCAGTTATGTTCTTCCTTCTGCAATAAATTGATAAGCTGTACTTTCATAGCACCTTTTAGTAAAGGGCTGTCTGTGCTTTTTGACAATTAAGGCTTAAAATTTTGTGAGCTCTTACCTAGGTTTCTCAGTAAGGAACAGTATGTTTTTTCACATTGCAATTGCTCAAGAAAAAGTAAACAAGTGTATCAGAAAATAAATTTACCTGCTTGAGACAATTTGTCTGGTCTGACAAAGTCTTTCACTACAGCCTTCTGAGGAGCAGCAGCCAGCAGTGACTTGCTAAGTGACTTCTACACCTGCCCGTGCCTAGGAGCTTTACCTTGCTAAGAGCTGCTGCACGCACTAGTGTGGAAGGTGCAACCAAGCAACAGTCACAGGCAAGACTACAGAGTTATCCTAAAACTCACACCAGTTCCTAGTTGAGTAAGTATATGTTTCATCCTACCAAGGCTAACACTTTCTAACCATTAAAAACTAGGATTCTTCAAGTATTACCAGCAACTTTATCCTGAATTTTATTCTTAACTCTTAAAATCCATTTTAAGTATGAACACAAAAGCGGAAGCCATTTTTCAGTTGCAATCACTGATACAACAAGAGCAGTGACTTTTCCAGCAAGGGGGAGCAATCACAGAGGTTATTCTCATGCTGCCAGAGGGCTGTGCAAGACAGTCTCTCACTTCACCCAGCCACTGGGCCTCCCATGTCCCAAGTACAATTAATGCATACACATCATGCTTCAAAGTGCGGGGCTTAAGGCAGCCAACAGCTGACTAGTGCTCACAGAAGAACTCTTCCATGCCCTTCCCAAAGATTCTTTGGGAAAGAAAGCAAAATGGCTGAAGAAATTGCCTGTATGAGTTGTTACAGTGGGTCATGGAAGACCTGTGTCCCATAGGATATGCATCCAGCATCAGAATTCGTAACAATTCCTGCTTCCAACTCTGCTCTTCAACATGCATTTCTCCACTCTACAGGGAAGAATTAAATTTGTGTTCTCAGTCATTTGCATAGCTATTGGGATTCATAAGCCATTTTTTCTAGATTACTGTTTTTAAAGAAAACTCACAGCTAGATCTAATTTTGTTTCTTAATATACAATCTGGTTGATGGTATTCCTTTCATACAAACTTAGACTACCACTCAATTCAATTCATTCTGTAGAACTGGCCTTTATACCTCTTCTACCACTACAACAGTTCCTTTCAAGAAGAACCTTGCAGTATGCAGCTAAGGATAGATTCCCAGAGGACACAGTAAGAAATGCCATCTGCAGAGAACACTTATTATAAATGTCTTTATTAAATACATGGTGTTGTATAGTGCTGGAGGTTTTTAAAATCCTAACGTCTCTTATGTTTGAAATACACTGTGGATGAACAGCCCATCAAATTAAGATTCTCTCTTCCGGTAATTAGATTATCATGACTGAAAAAGTTAAACCCTACTGCTTCAGACTAAACAACTAAGCCTGAACTAGATCTCACAGTCAATTTTGTTAAACTTATGCAAAACATCACAATAGGGTTGTAAATAATTGTAGATAGCATTAACTTTTCTGTTGTCTTTTAATCTCTTACTCTGCAGCTTATACCTATCTAAGACTTAAATCTGCATCAAATTAGCAGGCCTAGTTTCAAAATTTCTCAAGTCAACTCTTCAAATACTGGTATATTAGTGAAGGACTAAGAGAAATACTATTTTCTCATTTTTCCCCAAGAAAAATACTATTTTCTCATTTTTCCCAAGGGGAAAAAAAACCCCAAAACTCGAACAATCAAACAACTTAGACACTTTGTGGTTCAATCTTACAAAATTTTAATTAGCTTGACAAATACCTACATGAGTTCTCAACCTCCCTCCCTCCCCAAAACTGAATTACCACTCCCCCAGCAAAACCCCCTTACACCCTGCTACTCTACTGGTTCCTTCTGCTTGTTGAGAAAAGCAACACTTTTCACAAAAAGACAGTTTTGAAGCTTTTCAAGTAACAGCAAAGTAAGTCAACATGCTTTATGATTAAGCCACTAAGGAGCATTTCAGTTTTGTTAGGAGTGAAAAAAGAGCAGCAAGAAAAGCATTTTGATGCCCTTCATCCATACACAGAACTAAACCCAGTAATAGTATTTTGCTCTAAAACTACAGACTGTTATGAACATAAAGTCAGGAAAGCTAGATTTTGTTTTAAATGCTCTATAAAGTATTTTTATGTATTTTGTTCAGCATTTAGGCACTTCTGTAAGTATGTTGTATCATCTTAATAGATTAGTCTTCAGACATACTTCAAGCATGTGTTAATAGAACTATCAGCAATTATGACCAGTATGCAGGAATTCAGTTAAAACACCAGAACTTACAACTGTTTAAATTGTCTAAATATAAAAAGCTGATAAATTATGCTGCATATTAATCATCATTCTCCTGCCTTACTGATGGTAAACAGCACTTCAGCAATTTAAGACTGCCTCAAGTGCACTCTAACATTTGAAAGTTAAAACTAACAAAACCCCTCTTCCTGTTCCCTAGATATCAACCATTATCGTTCAGAAAAACAAAGCAGCAAATTCTTCATCTGATATTACCACCTCTAGTAAAGCTATATTAAAAAAAAGTTAAAATCATACGATGTCTGCATATTTAGAGAGTACCCAAAAGATTTTCTTTTGAACAGTAAGTTATTTCACATTGTTTCAGAAACTTCAGTAACGTGATTTTTACCTGGAGGTCCTGTGATATTTCAGCTGTGGGAGGTGGTGGATATTCTTCACATACAGCAAGGCTCCGAACTAACTTTAACTTTGTGTTTGACTAAAGGAAAGTATGTAAAATTAAAAACTATGGCTTATAAAAAAATTATATAAATATACCATAAGCCGTTATTTTTCCATTCATTTTATGTAAAACAAGATGGCTGAAAACTGCATTTTCAATACTTTCAACAGAATAAATAATTTCCTTTAGGAAGAAAATACCCAAGCAATCGCAGCTTTTGAAGGCACTGTCAGCACAGTAGAGCACATCTAATGAAAAGTAAATAAAATTTTTGGGAAAGTGTTTCTCTCCATAACAATAAAAAGCCACCAAAAATATAAAGGCAAACCACAAAAGCAGACAACTAGGCAAGACAAAAATCCAACAGAATAAAACAAAGCTTCAATACCAAAAAATAAAACTAAAGGCACTTTTCACAAAGTAACAAAGCTTCATCAAGCATGAAGGGCTTCCTTAGCATGCCAGCACACAAGTCTACTGTACCTTCGACCTTTTTGCTGTCTGTCCAAAAGACTGCACTGGCCGCTGAATGATAGGCACAACAGAAAAGGTTTATATTAAACTTAATAGTACAATTTTATTAATGCAAAAGACTGTATAAGAGAAAGCTTTAACAGTTATTACTGACATGATGGTCAAATCTGTGAAAGGAACAGCAGGTGCTTTTGGCTGAAGGATTATATGCTCTCCCATTCTCACTGTGCTTGTCCTTGATTTCTCATCTTCATTTATCAACAACAGATATTGGAATTTAACAGGAAGCAAGCATATTAATCATGTTCAGTAAGATCCAAACAGTTTACTGTTTTACTCTCAGCCAGCTCCTACATTTTAAATTCTCATGTCCTAATTTTCTTGGCAACATGACATGGTTTTTATAGATTTTTTTCCTATTCATGAAACCTACCTGGAAAAATTATATGAAAAAAGGCAACCAAATAAAAAAAAGTATTGCCTCTACCAGGGGAACAGATGACGACCTATCGTAAGCAGGTTAAAACATATTTTTTTTTCTTTCACCTTAGCAGCTATGAAAGTAAACCTTAAAGTGGGCTACCCATCAATTTTTTTCTCCTTTAGTAACTTACTATGCATTAATACGCTCTTTCTCCTCCCAGAGCCATTTTAGTAATTTACTATGCATTAATGTGGTCTTTCTCCTTCCAGACTTCTTCTGTTACTATTGTTTCTTTTTTAAAAAAAAAAAAAAAAAGCATTACCAGAATTTTGCTAGTGTCTGCATGATTGAAAAGTACATTTGAGTCAACAAAAGCGTTTAACAATTTCTCAACTGCATAGTTAAAACTAACCCAACCCTCTGTGACAGTTACACAGGAATAGAAGCACTTACAGTGGCACAACGCAATTTAAGTATTGGTTTCACTGTAGAACCAGAACTGTTGAATAGACAAGCCTTTAACAGAACTGGTTTTACTGAGCATAGGCCAAATATTTCTAAAGAAAAAATAACATTGGTAATTTAATTTCAAATGCTGTTTAATGGATAACATTTCCTCCTTTATGAAAGGGGTATCCTTTCAGAAGGAAACTAAAGAAAAACTCTGTCTGAAAACTGCATGAAGACAGCTAGACTCATAGGAGCAGATGTCTATCAAGTGCCTTCATTTCTTAGCAGGACATACATATTGCCAAAAAGAACACCTAACCTACAGTAAAGGGTTCTACCACATGAAGGCAGAAGAACAGCTATTTCTCTCATTTTCCTCAAATCCCAAATGTCTTTTTTGGATGTTGCACCAGCGTAGCTGAAGAGCAGCAGAAGGGGAGCTCATTTAAGTTCATTTCACTACATAACAGGATTTTAAATAGCAGCACTGTAAACTGGCTGAGCTCATCATCAGTTTTTTAATGGAAGCTTGCTGAGATTTTGAGCAAAGACAGTTCACATGTTCTTGCACCTGGAACAATGCAGAGGCTTTGAGTTTTGCTGCTACCTGCAAACGACTTTTTTCTTTCAATCAGCTATGCTGAAAGCATGCACTGCATACTGAAAGCTGTCACTCTGCATATCCCTGGCAAAATTTCAATTATACCAAGCTACTAAACTTTCAAGAACTGGATGATTTCCCAGCCTCCTATCAATTACACCAGCATCAGTCATCAATTATCTCAGGTGGGTTCAAATCAAGTAGTGTAAACTTCAAATCAGCACTGCTAGTGGAATCCTCAGTTCACTGTCAAAACAACAGGCAAAAGAATCTACGCTTGGGCAACTGTTTACCTTCTGCAAAATTTTGGAAGCTTTGAAGCCAGTATATAACTGAAAAGAGTATATGGAAGCAAACACCCCAGGATCCACTGCTGGGGAGGGAGAGGGGAAGATCAACTTAATTATACAGGACATAAGACATTTTAAACTAGCCAAACAGAATTTCTAATACTGTTAACCAAAACTTTACACATAAGTTACTGCTCACTAATTAGAAAAGACATATATATTTCAATTACTTTCAAGACTAATTAAAAAAACCCAAACAACAGAGAAGAGATTGTTGCTGGGAAGCAGGAACCATATCATAACTAAATTTAATTAAGATCTGTAAAAAGCACATATCTCCTCCTCGCCTTACCTCAGTAAAGTCTCAGGAATCCATTGCAGCCAAAACTTAAGTATGTTTGTTCATGCCAGATAAAGTGAAGCAAATGGCTCAAAATTTAATTGAGATATTGAAATTGAAATGATCTAGTATCAAATCTGAATTTTCTGTAAGCATGTTTAAAATAGTGTGTTTTTTGGATTTCAGTCACAATAGGACAGGTTTAATGGCACATGTCTTTAAGTGTTTTACACGTGTCATATTGCATCTTCATTTTGTTTGCAGAATTACAGTTCTGTTTCCAGGTTGGAAAGCCAACCCAACTGACACTGTCAATTATGCTGCATTTTTTTTAAAAAAAAAAAAAGTCTTTAAGATAGGTGTTTTGCTACTTATGGGGAATAAGTTAATCAAAGCAGTATAGGGTATTCAGGGTAGTAAACTGAGGCATTTGAATACCATGGTGCTCAATTTCATGAGCACCTGACAGCTTTTAGGGACCAAACCAATACCAGTAGCACTGGCGAGAACTGGGGAGCCACCGTAGGAGGGAGAGTCTCCCTTGACTGAAATGACTCAAACCTCCAAGTTACATGAGATAAGTATGATCCCACCCATCGTATTAAGACTTGTTATCTAGAAACAACTACCTTGTAAAACAATCCCCCGATAGGCGTGGATTCCTTACTTTCCTGCATGACTAAGAATGTCAAAACCTGAAATCCAAGCCCCCACATCCAGCTGTAACTGTGAGGAATTAGCACCACACACTTGACAGGTAAGAAGCACTGGAATAAATCTGGTATGGCTGGACTGCAGGGACAGCCAATATGAGAAGAGGCCTACGATGTAAGGTCTGCATCTGAAAATACAAAACCCAGAGTCCTGTGATATCAACAGGAACTGCTCTCTCAAAACTTGAAGATGATTGGGCACAGTTCCTTTCTCGGCCAAAACCATGCTGACTGAGGATAACTACATTTCTGCTGAATTCCACAATAGGTAGTCACTGCATGTTGTGGTTGTTAATAAACATTTTCTCTCTTTTCAGGTCTGTGAATTTTCGTTCTGTCCTAATTTCTCTGCATTTATTAAGCTTTGCTCCTACAGAGCATCTTTATGTTCCCCATTTGTGAAAAACAATTTATAGCTACTTTAGAATGTGTAATCCTTAGTGAGTGCAAATTAAGCAATCTCTTTATATTTGCAGCTCTCAGACTTTTACTGACCAGAGAAAACAGTGTTAACTAAAGCAAGATTAAAAATAAATGTATGTCCCATTTAAAGTAATTATGGGCAAGATTTCAAGCCAGTGTTTAAAAACAAGTATTCCAAACAAGTGCATAATGAAAATAATTAGGTTTTTGTCTTTAAAAAAACCCAACAACTTTTAAGACCAACTACTATGCTTCATTTCCAACTACAAAATAAAAAGGGAATTAAGATAGAGTTTACTAAACATATAATTATATATATATCCAGGCTTTCAGTAGGAGTATTTGCCTATTTTATTTTTTCCTAATTATCTCCACAGACCACATATATTAAATACAAAGTAAAGATCTGGAGCTGTTACATGCCTTCCTCTATCATCACTACACTGTCTAAACAAATTGGATAAAACCAGGTCAGGCACTAGATGGCAAACTTGGAAGCGTGAAAAGTTTTGTGAGATGGTACTCTATCTATTTCTGAAGTACCATTTGGACATTTCAGAGGACAGGCATGACATGACAGACCCGAACAAAGAGTGTTCTAAGGACATTCAGTTTTTCACCTTTCTTCTAAATCAGGTCTCAATTTTCAATCCAGTTAGGGGCTACAGTCCTAACAACCACACATGGCTTTGTCATACTGAAGGAAAGAACAGGGTGGTCTATGGTTACTTCCTGTCCTGGGTTAGTGAATAGTGACAATTTTCCATGACACGGTAGAGAATGGCTGATGGAAAAATAGTTTTCACCATCAGACACAAAAGCACTTTCAACAGTTCAAAAGTAACTAAACAGAATCTGCCTGATCATTTATCTATTAAAAAGTATTAAGTCACACATTTTGGAGACAAAAGACAGGCAAATCCTGACAAGACCAAAACAGCCGGGAAGGAGGCAAAAAAAGGCTTCAGAGAACTCAAGCTGTGGAACAGACAGAGAAAAAGGTTTGTGCTCGTACGGAGGGAAGAAACTTGTAGAAAGAGAGATGTCTAGTTGCTAGGTAAAAAAATTAATCTAATTCCTCCAAAGGACAGGGATATCTGCTTAATTAGCACAAATCCAAACCAGAATTATGCTCACTTAATATATTTGCCTTGCCCATATCATATGGTGGATGCATACAACTCCTGCATTCGTGCACCAGTCTCCATCCTTCCGTGAGGCTTTTTTTGTTGGTGGTATTTTGGTTTTACTCACCACAGCTTGCAAGTGCTTTTCCTGCTACGTAGTGATATGCAGCTTTCCTTCTCTGTCTTTTACTGCTTTGGCAATCATCATCCCATTGAGGATCTTATATCTACTTATTAATGATTATTTTTCAGGGCAGAGATGACAGTATTTAAGGCTAACATTCTTCTTCCCTCCAACCCCCATAATGCATGGATTGTAGAATAAGAACAAGCCTCTTTTTCTGGATTATACATAAGCCAACATGAATTGTTATGGAGATTTTAAATATTTTTTGGTTTAAAAATAAAAAACGCAACCAACCACCAAACCAATTCCTAATAGTGAATAAAAGGCACTATCCTGCAAGATAAATCCAGGCTGTTAATTTAATTTTTTTGTCAATATTTTCTGACATGTTAACTTTGTAACAGCAGTCCTTATAATAAAGTGTTGCTTGTCCCACCACCCAGTGACAAAGGCAACAAACTTCAGACCCTGTATTGTAGCCAATTCAGTATTAGTATGTTGTCACCTGGCCTGGATAAGATTAACAGGTGGGAGACAACAGTGACTGGTGAACCAAAACCTTTTTGATCACAAAAACTACCATAGTGCTGACAGGCATGTGACTTCTGCAGAAGTACTTTTCATATGAGTGCCTCTTATTTCCAGTCCCATTTAGATGTTACTTGATGGTCCCATTTAATGACCAGGACAATTCAAAAATCTTCCCCTAATAATCTCTAGATCAACTATACTCTCACAGCTTAAAGAAATTGGGAGTGCTAGCCATGTACTCTAATTAAAGATATTTTTCTCATTCACATTGTACCCCCAACAGTGTACACAACAGCAAACAGGTTACTAATGCACATCATCTCAAGATAATCTGGAATTTAGAGCTAGTTACATTTCAAAATACAATCACAAGTTTCTGGAACTGTGAAGATCCAGAAACATACCTAAATTCAAACCATGATAGGTTTAGACAGAGGAAAGATCATAGCCTGTTTCATATTTGACTGTAAAGAAGTTAAATAGCAATTTCGAAATCAAGTGATAACTGTACTCAGGAATATTATTGTAGTTTGCCAATAGGTATGCAACCTATTAAGCAATTAGCTACTAGCTAGGAAAGCCAAAACCAAACCCCATTACAACTCCCACCCCCCAACCCATACTGTGATATGCTTAAAAGAACACAACTTCAATAAGCTTCTGATAGCTTCTCTAACATTTCTCAGCAAATCCTTTGCTCTTTTCCCCACTACTACAGTAACATTTAACCTGCACTTAATGAAAAGTAGTACATCCAGTGAAATTTCACTAGTCAAACTATTTAATCATCCATTAGTTAAAAACTTGCTGACTCCTCCACTGTTCCCAGAACTTTTGTTTACTATGGACAGGCCAAAATTTTTGGTTTCTATTTTAGCATACAGCATGCTTTCAATGAAAAAGCTTCAAATATACGGCAAATATATTTGCACTAGCAGCTACCACAGTACAAGTGACATTAACTTTTACTGACTTCAATTGTTGCAAAGGGCTTATATTAGCAAGGTTCCACTTTGTAATTGACTGTCTTCCTACCACTCTGGAAATCAACATCCTCAGGCTACAAACTCAGTTTTTAATTACACTACTCATTTAACAGCAATGTTCTGATTCTGATGGAGACTCCTGAACACAACACTTACAACAACACTAAATGAAGATGACAGTAAAGCTGTCTCCATCAAACAGCCTTCATTACACAGCTGTTCAGTTCATCGTGCGTATGCTAGATAATTATTTCAGTCACCAGCTATTACTCCTGTACAAGACCAAAACCAAGCAACCAAACCCCTCGCCAAGCCCCACGGCCACTGACAGCGCCAACAGATAAATTTCTCTAGACTAGGCCTGACTATACAGCAACACTTGTTTGCAGGAAGGCAGATTTGCCACTTGAGTCTCACAGATGTTTCCATGCTAAAATTTGTTGAATGAGAAAATGTGAATGAGATTTTTCCAAGTTACTGAACTGTATGATAATAAATAAACCTTAATTTTTAAGGCTCACTGCTGGGACATTCCACTGTTTAAAGAAAATATCAGCTCAGCTGTAACATCTACCGGCATTTCAGTAGCAGTTATTTCTCATATGTTACAGAGAAATATTTCATTTTAAGGATTTATTTTTTCCCATAAAATTATCTATTTACACTGATGCTAGCCTTAATAAAGCCAGCAGATATTAAAGTGTAAAGCTGTATTGTTATCACAGTGGTCTACAAGATTTATTTGGAAACAATTTAACATAGCAGATAGAGCTTACTTCACTCAGTGGAATATTGAATTGTTAGTCTTGAACAAAACTACTCCCAAAAGAACCTTTTACTCAATTCTCAATAACAAGAATCTAATAAGGTACTGTCCTGTTTTTGCAACCCACAAGAGAATACTGTCATACCCCATATCCCAATCAGGATTTTTATCAGAAGATTGTTTATTATTAACCCACAGACACAAAATTCCTATAGAAAAGTAGTTTTCATCTAACACAAGCTTCTGTGTTTTCTCTTAGAACTAAGTTTGCCCTGTTTTCTAGGTTGTGCCAGAAAATTTCAGTTGCTTTCCTTAACTCTTCACCTTATCTAAGACACTTACAGTCTTCAATGACCAAGTGGGCAGCCTCAGCCAGGAGTGGGCTCGTTTGTCCCATGCGAGAGACACACATCTTTCAGGACCTCTTGAGCATAAACACTTAACTGCACACTTAACTAAAAACCTCAGAGGTATTAAATCTGCTGCCATAAATTCTTAACCCATCCTTATTGGTGTGTTCTCCTTTAAAACAAGGTATTTTCATACTATTTCCCCTCTCTCTTTCTCACTTGTTTCTTTACAGGTCCATCTCCCACCTTGCAAAGGCTGTTCATTTATACGCATCAGCTCTTCAGCGTATGCATGGAGGACTGTGTAAGCTTTCCTACCTGATGAATCACGTACCAAAATTGTCAAGCAGCGAAGAAGGGAGGAAAAGGGAAGGCGCGGGGAGTGCTGGCTAGCAGCCAAGATGGGGTGATAGGATGACAGCTCACCAGCTCACTCCACCATTGATGTAGGGAGAAAAGAGGCTGGACCTTCTGCTGGTGGCTAGGGCAGGACCTAGCCCTACCGGCCTCAAGAGCTCTGTTGACTTGATTCCTGTGACACCTGGGGATTTGGGTTACCTCTGTCTGATTACTTTAGCCTTATGCTGTACAGCTCTGCTGTAAAAGTCACACCTGAGCCACCTGTAAGCTGCACATAGCTCAAGAGCCCTAGATTGGTCACCCCTACTCAGGGCAGACATGCTGAGCTGTGCTGCAGTGCTGTGTTCATACAAGCAACACTCGATACTTTAGTGTTTTGATCACACTGCACTACTACTATATAGTGTATTCTTAACACAGACTAGTCCCCAAAACTCAGTCAGGATTCAGCAACAGCAAAAGACAGCTTGAGTGCTGAGTTTTTCCCTTGTTCTGCTACAAAGAAAAGACTCAACTTCACACATGCACTCAGGAAAACACAAAATACGGGCAAACTGTCTGGTTCCCATGCAAACCGCTTATCTACTTCAAACAATCAAAAATTACTGACTCTCATTTATATGAATATAAACAGAAAAGTGGGGCAAAGGAGGAGAGTGGAAGCAATAATCATCCTAGTTGCTTCCCTAACACCGGTCAAGTTTTCCTGACCTGTACCAAAGAAACACATAAGAGGATCATGAGAAAGGAAGAAGAACAAGACACAGACTTATTTAACATGATATACTAGTGAAAAATAAAGTAAAAAGCTTCTTACCGGCATATTGTTTTTGCTATCAGGACAATTTTCATCCTTTTCTGCTTGAATCTGCGCCTGACTTCCTGATTTTATAAGGTTTTCAACTGGGTCTGTATCTTTAAATTCAGCTTCTGAACCCTTCATTGCATCAGTTTCATCTTTTACAGTAAGAATATCAGACATCCTCATTAGAAAAGGTTATTTTAAAATTCTACAAGAAATACGGAACCTTTAGGACAAAGAAAAAGTGGATCACTGAGTAACTTTAAATTAATGAAAAAAAGTTACATACCTAAACAGCTACCCAAAATAAACATGATTTTGCTGCAAAAGGGACTCCCCCTCCTGTTACATTTTTTTCCTGTCTTGCATTAGAGGGAGAGAGTGATCATTTTCTTTTTAACCACTTTTATCAAGAGGCTTATAATAACAGACATCTATACAAATGAGAACTAAGAGCTACACTGTAGGATAATGCTTGCAGATTTTCCCTTCTGTATTTTAAAATAAACACCTGAACATTCAGATTCTCCAAATCAGACTAGGTTCCAATAGAAAAAAGGGAAGCTTTTCTCATTTGAAAGGAGAGAATTACATATAGGTTTATTTTAAAAGGGTTGAAAGTAAACAGATGAATCATAATGCACCAAGTGTGCAAAGATTCATAAATTTCATTAGAACTTTTAAGTTTCCTAGTTGCCAGGTAACAACTGGACAAGTTCTGAATGCAGAAACTATCTTAACTACTAAATGTAGCAAAACTAATCCTAATAAATTTAAGCACTCTCTTAAAAGCAACAAAGAAAGAAAGAGACAGCCTTGGTAATTAGGATGATAATAAGCATTATCAGTAATTACAATTTATAATAGTAATTTTAAATACTATATAAAGATAACTCTAATGACTAAAGCTGTAACAGAACCACCCCAATGTTCCCTAAGAAATAAGAAATACAACTTCTTGCCATTATTCAGCTACAGTGCAAGATGTAAAAACAAGAATTTTACATTTCTTAAAAGACACAAAGAATAAGATCCGAATGCTTAAAATCCTTCATAGAAAACAAATAACAATCAAATAACATTATAGAAAAGTCTAAATAAGGATCTGATTTAGTACCTGATATGTCCTACAGTTTGGGGATTGTGGTGTCCCACAAAAATAAAATAAAATAATCCAAAGTTCCTTTTCACAGTTGTTAACCAAGATGTCAGTTGTAATGAACCATCTGGAATCCGGCAGGAGGAGTCCCATGTCCTTATCCCCAGTGTAGAGTCCTGGACAGAACTATGTTGTCTTGAATCAGCAAGAACATCCCTTTTGACTGCCTAAAAATCAACAAAGAAATACGTGATACTTTTATTTGGAGTGGGAGGGGAGAGGGAACATGATGACACCCAAAAACTTAAATAGTCCTTTCAAGGAAAAAAAGCACAGAAGAAATCAGCATTTGTCATAGCTATTCATTCCACTTGCTGTACCTTGCAGTAATATTATTTTTCATTAGACTTCCAAGATATTTCTGTATTACAGAGTTAACAAGTAGTCATAATAAACATTTTATTGGCATGCCTAGTGAAACTCTGTTTCTATAAACAAGTAGGTATCTTCCAGAAGAGTCTGAAAAGACAGTTTGAAATAAGCAGCCCAGCAGGTGTGGAGGAGTAATAGGCCATGAAAGCTCACAAATCCCTGTTAGCATAACAGCATTCTTCTCTTTGTCATAGTTAATAATCTACAAGCACAATACATAATCCATATTTTAGGCAACCTGAATTACAGAAGACAGTTTTATTTTATTTAACTAAGCAATTGCCCTTGAGTGAGGATTTACAGATTTCTACAAAACTGGCAATGTTGCATCTTCCTTCTTTTTCAGGTTTGCTTTTCTGAGAAATAAGTAATATCACCACCCACAAGGAAGCATGCATTTGCGGTGGTAGGTAACACCAGACATCTAATAGCAAACAAAATGTAACCTATGAACATAGCAAAAATATCCTAAAGCAAAGAACAGAAACAACTATCTATCAAACCTGTGAAAGATACACTGAAATAAAACAGCTGAAAAGGATCTCTCTATTGCATTCCCCAAACACTTGTCTTATGACTAGTCAGGGACTTATTAAAACCAGTATAAATTATAATAAACAACAAGAATACCTTCTGTCACCTCAGTTGAGCTACTTAATTTCCATGTGAGTAGCATGATAATTAGAATTGTTTCAGGAAAACAAACAAACGAGTGAAAAACTTCAAAACTGTTTCAAATGAAATTAAGAAACAAATAAGATATTTACACCATGGTTACAAACACAATTTTAATTGATGTAGGTGAAGAACCTGCACTAAACTGTTCTCTTTCACAATGAAGAGTTGCACTACATGCAGGAAGAAAGGATGGAAAGACAAGTCGTGCAAGATCTTAATGTCTCCAACAAGCTGCATCTTAGCTGAAAGAATCTGAAAGCATTTAAGCATTCTGCAGTATGAAGTCACTAGAAAGCAATTAATATAAAAATTACGAGGTCAGGCTGTTACAGTGCCCTGCCTTTCATCAGTTTTAATGTTTTGTCCGTGTAATAATTGAGCAAAGAGTTTAATATAAAATAATGTAACAGAAAACTAGCTAAATATAACACTGACTTTACATGAGAGGAAAGGCATATCCTGTTTCAAGAAAAACCTGCAGAACTGAAGATGGAAAGTCGGATTTACAATGAAACAAAAGAAAGCAAACACTTCATATTCTCTATGTTCTATAACAGTATCACCAGCTTGTATTCAAATTGTTTTGTATACACATAAAGACACTGCAATCTCTTGAACCCTTCCAGGAAAACAACAACTGTAGACCCAGCAGAAAGCAACACTTCAGAAGATACACGCACATAAAGAATGAAGAATAATGTACTGCTCCCTTTCCCCCAGATAAACCCTGCAAAAGAGATTTGGGTAAGAAGAATTTTAAATTATCATTTAAACAGTGTGTAGAATGTAACACCTCTTCCTTAAGTGCTAAGATATCTTAATTAATCATAAATAGTTACAACTCTGAGGAGAACAACTCCTCGTGCTGAACGACTCCCTCGGCATGACTGAGAAGACCGCGACTGCATGGAACAGCAGCACGACCGCCCACAGACTTCCAAGTTTGCCTGCAGGCGAGATTAAAGCCTGGCTACAATTACTTTTCTAGATCTGAAGAAACATACAGTTTCATAAGAGATATGAGATACTAGAGAAATTTTGACTTAATAAATCTTCCTGCAAAGAAGCATGGAAAAGAAAGATAAAAGATGGGCTGTGATTCAGGCCTGTAAAAGACCCTATTCACTGAATCTAATGGAGGGAAAAGGATTAGAGATGAAAGAACAAATTGGAAATAAAAAGGTGCAGAAATGCAGTACTGTTTGGTTGTCGAGTTAGTTTTTCCAGACAATCCAGATGGTGATTTAAGACTTACGAAGAAGCTCACATTAACAACCTTTACTGTAAACAAGACTTGAATAGAGATGCTGTTTGATTTTATTGACTGACATGTGATTTGTATTGTATTTAGAGAAATGTTAAAAAAAGACTACAGGCTGAAGACAGGAAAAGAAGAAAACCAAAACCACATTTATGTCCGGTTGCAAATATAATCTTGCAAATTAAGTGTAATTTAACTGCTACTCCCTACACAAGTCACAAATGTAGTAACTGTAAACAACATCTTAAAGGGTTTTTTAATTCTATCAAATTCACTAAGACCTCCTGTCCCTTTGCAACACCATTAAAAAAAAAAAAGGAAACCAGCATACTCAGTTAGCAAAACTCACACTGCAAACATATTCACTCGCCTATGCCAGTCCAGAAAACTGATGCACAAGAAAAAAGTCCTTATATTTTCTACAACCACCTAACTGCAAATCAGCTTGTAACTTGTTATGAACAGTTTTTTCACCTGCAGATAGATTTAAAGCATGCAGATTTTGTGCTATGTATCCTACAGTGAAAGGGACAGAACTGAGGAAAATCTGTGTAGTTTCAATTCACACAAAATATATTTTATTTTATAGAATGTAGCTATTCTGAGTCAACTGAAATCACTATATGCACATGCACAAGTAAATGACAAGCCCTATGCTTCAGATTAACAGCAAAACACATGTAATAGAAAAATGAATCTTTGCTTACCTGTTTGGGTTTTTGGGGTTTTTGTTTGTTTGTTTGTTTTGTTGTTGGTTTTTTTTTTTTTTTTTTTTTGTAATAACAGCCACAGATTCACTTAAATTGGTAATGCAATCTTGTGTTTGTGACCCCCAATAGTAAGTTACTAGTACTTGGATAACATTCCATCCCTGAAATTTCCTCTAATTTAGACAATTTTCATAGCTGAGAATTTGGTTCTAGTTTCTAAACTTGCACAGATTGGATTAAAAAAGACTTAAGGACTTTTATGTGCTGCAGACTGAAGGGGAGGGACAGCCCACAGTCCATCCTTATGAATCCTACCTCCCCATATATTTGGATGTTAATTTCTTGTGCCCCATGCAAGACAAAAAAGGAGAAGAAAGCAGGAAGGTAGATCTTAGGACTCACTCTACTATTTGGAGAGAAAATAGGTTCTACGAAGCAAACTGATTAAGTTGATTTACACCAAATCCCAACATTGGCCATAGACTGGATGGCAAAGTAGACCAATATAGGTTGGCAAATTTTAATAAGAGTGACATAACTCTGCCCTAAAATTATCCACACAGTTGAATATTAGGGATAGAACTATCTACCCCTGAATATTAGGGGTAGAACATTACCTGGCTTTGCACTTAAAAATTCAAACAGCTACCAACACGTCTCATGAAAAAGGCCTTCCAATTTCAGTATCTTGCATAGGTGACAACAATAGGCACCTACATAGACAGGAAGTACGAGGACTTTATGTAAGAGTGGAGGATAACGTCATATTTATCATCTTTAACCTTCAGGACTGCTGTCTCCATCTAAAAGCTTATTGTTGAAATGTATGCCCTTCCCCTTCTTCATCATATTGGTAAGACTATACCACCACCATTCCTCCTAAATTTTATTAATTCTCATTCTGAAAAGTGGCAACCACTTTGTATAGGCAACTATTCTGAATGCATCCCTTTTCAGAGGGAAAACTGTTATCAGTTATGACATGGAAGTCTACTGCTACGTAGCCACATGCTTTTCAGTCAGAAGACGATAAAAACTGTCAATGCTGTGCTCTCATTGCTTTCTTTTGCACAACCCAAAGGACAAGTGATAAAAAAGAAGACATCAAGCAAAGCCATTGCTGAGTTTTATGACACAAGCCTCCTGAATCTTGATACACAGAAAAACACTAGGTCCTTTGTTTCAGTTTCTGACTTGAAAATCATGATACGCAAACCCACTAAATTGACTTGTAATGAGTGAGGATATTTCTGGGAACAGGATCTACTCAACTTAATCCAATTTCTCTAATAGGCATCAAGACTTCCATCTCCTTCTTGTTGGCAACCTAGATGGAGATAGGAAGCTTTGCTCTGCCCATGACAGAAGAAATCGATTCTTTTTATTTTAAAAGACAGAAGGTGATTTTTTTGTTCTTTGTTAAAGCTATTATTGATATCATTGCTGTCAAAAAGACCCCAGGAACAGCTGTCAAAATAACTGGTATCAAATTCAGGGCAGGAAATTGGATTAGAAGGGTGGGGGTGAAAAATCTACATTCAACACACAAAATGGACACACTGGAAAGGTAAAATGAAAATTTGTTTCTTGAACATGCTTCTGTTCACCAGATAGTTCAACAGAATTCTTGCAGAGGCCTAAAGAGTATCCCTTGTTGTGGACAATATCCACCTACCTCATTTTTACTACAATGATAAGTAGTTTATCCCCTAGCCTGACAGTCAGAATCAGTCAGTGCTAAATTCCCAGTGAGACTTGTTGCAAGTCATTCAGAAATCTCCAGACTGTATGTCTTAGCTCTCAACATTTGTTCTAGTTACATGTAAAGCTGTACTTCTCTTCAGAAGTTGCTTTAATTTTATTATCTGAGCACTAAAGGCTGGAACTTAATTATCCATCTGTACTCTCCCTGAAACGAGGCCAAGTTTATGTGAAACAGTACAGAGAAAGCCATACTTGCTGTACCGTATATCTATGCTAGAGTTTAAAGAAAAGAAAGCAAAAATAACCAATGTATTAAAATTTAAAGCAGGAAGCAGCAGTAGTCAAGTTATTTGTCTATCCCAGCACCAGAAGGCCAGCAACCACAGGAAAGACAGGACCAAGAAGCAGCTGGGGGGGAAG